TGATGATGATGTTGCAGCTCTTTCCCTTGGAACGGGCAAGGGGTGGACACGAACGGGGTTCATGAAGCCAAAGCCTTAGACCTTGTTGGTCTTAATGGTCCCGAAGTACACTTTTTTCCACCAGTCCTCGAGCCTTTTTTTTTGTCGCCTCTACAGTAGGCTTGTGCTGGCTGCTGGAGATCATGTTCGAATTTGTAGCAAGCCTGTCTGCATGTTGCCCTGAGCCCTACGCGTGGTAGGGCTCAGGGCAACGGCTGAGCGCTTGATACTCTACTGTAAAGGGCTTCACCCTTTGCCTACCGAAGACAACATACATTTAATAAAGTCATTGGGATTTAGAGACAGCGAAGGGAGAGTGGATTTCAAGACTGTAGAGATTACCAAGCAAAGATTAAGCGAATGGTGGCAGAAATCGAGAGAAAACTAGGTATTTTCTTATCCACTGATGGCAAGGGGGTTTCATAGCATCACTTTCTTTGCACTGGGGAGTGAATATAGATTTCACATTTAAATATTCTAAGCTTAAATGGTAAAACAAAATGGCTAGGTGGCGTAAGCTACCGCCCGATCCAAAGGGCTCAGCCGTATTCATCCATCCATCCATCCGTGAGTTTGCAGAGCTGAATATGCGCCTCCACAATCTCAAATTTTTGCTACGCGACTTCTTTTGGCCACATTCTTTAACACTAACACTGAATGAAAAGCATTACTCTAAAAAAATCTCATAAAAAATAAGAAAGCATGTAAATAGATTTGTATTTAAGTGCAAACTGGGAGAAAAATACATACACCACTCCGGTTCATCCTTTTTGTGAACTAAACACAATACTCATCTTGATCTTAAGAGAGGCATTGCACCCATTTTTTATCCCATCTTGATGTCTTTCAGCTTGTTTTCATTTTTATGCCTCCCACGAAAACTGATGCTTGCAACATCGTGCATTTTTAAGGCTTTTATTATTGTCCTATTACTTGGCTCCATCCTTTGGTCCACACATACTTGTCCTCTCTTTCAAGTGTTTTGCTGCAAGTTGCCTACACTCTCCTCTTGCAATGCTGATTTGGTTTTCAAAATCTTTCGCTTCCTGGTGTGGTTCACCAAGAAGGGCCTCATGAACCTGGTTATGATCAGCAAGGGACCTCCTATGATCTTTGCAAAGGTCCCTCTTACATTGTAGCAGGGGGTTCACAGAAGGGAGCTTCCAGAAACGGCTGTACTGGGCTCTTGAGGAGTGCGCTGACTGCAGCTATTGCAGCTCCTTCCAGATTCATGATCAGCCCGACAAAGAGCCAAGATAAGCCACCACCATCAATGTTTACGATGAGCATCATCGTGGGAGAGGACGATGCTTGAGCTCCAACCGTGCTAAGGCAGCCCAGACAAGAAGTGCTGTCCTGCACGGCCCGGACCATAAATCTTGCAACAAGACCAACGGCTTGCAGACCTGGCTGAGCTGTTCCTGAACCATACAAAAGCAAAAAAGATACTTTCTACGACAGTAAAACACAATGTGGCATGTATTTTCAGCTCTAGGTATTCAAACAGTACGCCGGTGTTATTTTTAGTATAGTCGGTGACAGATTAAGAACATACGGCAAGCACTAGAGAAAACCTCTCCTTTTCCCAGCACGCTACTGTTCAAACGGAAAAAGTGAAAGCCCCCTTGCCCAGCTTTCTCAAACTGTCACCGACCAGAGAAACATTGTATATTACAATAATTGCACATTCACCTGCCTTCATCTCCAAAGCGTCGGTGTAGGGTTGTAAGATGTCCGTAAGGTCAATAGGACTTGATCTTGTGGTGCATGCCGCTGGAGCCAGTATTTTTAGGTCCACCGAGGTCCCTGGTGTCTGACCGCATTTCCACTACTAAAGGAACGTAGGATCCCTGTCACGTACGAGGATCTTCTGCAGTAAAGACAAGGTGGCATGGACATCCGTCTGATCATTTTGGCCATCAAGTTTCTGCACTGTAGAGAACACGGCCTCCACGTCATCTCTAGAGTATCTTGCTGTCAGGACAAAATGAAAGCCAACATCTAGGAGGCGACTTTGTGCACGCGACCGTAGAGGCAGTGGTACGTTTCCTCCGAGAGAAATTCGGCAAGAGCAGCATTTTTCCAGATCAAAAAGTAGTCCAGGCAATCATTCAACAGCCATGCCAGCCTGCAAATAAATAAACGATTTCTGAGTTGCTACAATAAAAATAAGATAACACAAACCCTATCAATGCGTTCCCCTGTCGTCATTGGAGTCATAAAAGGGCATCCTCATAGGATCCCTGCTGAAGATGTGGAGCTTTGGATGTAGTGAAGAGTAAGCCACTCGTACACCAGCTTCATATATTCAATGGTAAAGAGGCAGTTCTCAAAGCCCAAGATCCCATACTGCGTTACGTACCTCTCCAAATACTCGAGCACCAAGGTCACCTAGAAATGAATGAATGCTTTAGCACAAGCAAAACAAATTGATGGTAAAAGAACTGCTTTGTCCAGTCTGGCAAAAATTATTTAATAATGTTTAGGCTCTTCATACCTGACGAGACGCGATGTCTAGGTCGCATTTCTCATTCATCCTTTAGAAAGGAGGAGATGTCTTTGAGACAGTCCTCTTACAAAAGGTCTGTCTCGGATGTGAGCATTGTCTGGCATGAAAACCCGGCCTGGCTCTTCCATTCGAATTGAGGGGCAGGGGCGGTACTGTGAAGGCCTCTGGTGTGTTGCTGCTTTCGAGTTGTCGCAAAATCTGCGATGATTCGCTTTCATCAAATCGTGACACCTCATCACCAGTTGTGGTGTGCAGGCCATCAGGAGGGCAACCCATTCTGAAAATAAATTCAGAGTGTGTGACATTTTCTGTACTTGAACATTTGTGGTACAGTGGACCGACCTTTTCCGACTGCTGGGCACGACCTTGTGTTCGCTCGGTGTACGCCTCAGCGCATGTCGCGGTGGCTTCTCTTTTGATTGAAGGTGTGCAGGATAGCCTGGGAACCTCGAGGGAACTGCGTCTGTCCTCAGTCGTTTCAATTTGAGCCCTGGACGATAGTCGTCATCAGTGAAATGCAGACTGCAAACGGTCGAACAGTCACTAGGCCACCAGATCGCCGTCGTGGTACCTCCAATTTAAGACAACCGAAACATGAAATAATTAAAGCACTGTCTAAGCTTGCATGTGACATCATTTGCAACCATGCCAGTATTTCATACGCCGCGAGCGTTTGATTTGAGCGATAGTTTCAGACCGCAGATGTTGTAGTTGGAAGAAACCAGCAAGTAAAAATAACCGTCAGTACCCAGCTATGGCGACACTCGCAAGTTATGAATACTCCGAGTCACTATGTTGTGTGCAGTGCATGCGAAGGTAACGCCAGGCGAAGAGAGAAAGGGCGCGCACTAGGAAGGTGGGAGGGGAGAGGAGGGTAAGGGAGGAAAAAAGGGAGTGCATTCAGAACGTTAGAGAGGAGATGTTTCTCTTTACCTACCCAACCATCCTATACTTCGTTTCAGCTTCTGTCCGAGCGCAGCCAAAGGCTGAGGGACGGTTCGCAACCTCGAGAAGAGCATTCCTACGCACAACAAAATAGTTCTCAAAAAAAGAATTTTTTTTTTTTTTAAATAACTGTTTTGTGCGTATTGCACAATATTCCAGATGTGTACTGCTGAGAATGATTTGCAACTAAAGGAATCACATATCTGAAGTTTATGTTTTTATTAATATATGTAACTGCATCTGGTTTGGTGAAAAGTGAAAACACGTACATCCGCTGGCAACACGGCTGCAGCGCTCGGTTTTTCTGTGTGATTTCATTCCTGTAACGGCCGAATCATGTGCTTCGCTGCTTTCCTCATTGAGTCGCTTCAAAACGTTCTTCAGCAAAGGCCCATTTGGGCGTCAGGTGCGAGAGGTGGTGATGAATGTCTACTTTCAAATTCAGCAGGAGACTCCGGCCGCGTCGTACAGCAAATGCGTTGTAAACAAGAAAAGCGTCCTGGCCACTACAACTTACTGATATGCGGCGAAATCATGGCATCCTTTACCTACTGATCACATTGAACACCGAGAAGATGGTGGAAAGGACTGCACCTCGAGCCCTGGTATATCCAGACAAAACAAGGAAACATCAACAGTGGGTCATCGGGCACCTTGCAATGTGTACTTACATCACGAAACTATGCCGAAATGCCGAACAGGTAGAAAGCTCTGACACAGACGCCAGCGGCCAGCCTACGTACCGACATCCCCTGTGACTAAATTTCAGAACGTGAAAGGGCACTTTTTAAACCTGTAGCAGACGATACCGTTGATACGCCCGTAGCAGATGAAATACTCTGCGAGCGCGGGCTGCGCGGACGACCAGCGGCGCAGCGGAGTCAGCGGAGTGATACAAAATTGCAGGCGAGATCGCGCGGCCACACGTAGCTTTGGCTGCGCTCGGACGGAAGCTGAAACAAAGTGTAGTGCTTGCCCATTCTCCCCTCGCCTGGCGTTGCCTTCACCTGTACTGCACGCAACTAGTGATACGGAGTATAGTAGACAATTCTAAATAAGTAGTAGGTACCTCGACGACGAATTGCCTTTAGCCATTTTTGCCGAATGGTTGTGGTGGGAAATTCATGAAAGCTAACTCCTTTTGCTTTCCCTCGTCTTGACTTGCAAAACGGCACACAGCAATACACCATCCCTATCCTTCTCCCGGGACGTGCCCAGCTTACAAAAATAATAATAATAAATAAATATTAAAAAACAAATCTTAAGAAAGGGACACGCGATTTGAAACGTACGCGAACGCAGGGTGCGCGAAACGCCGCCGAACTCACGCGATGCACGCGATGCAAAACACGAAAGCACCGCTCGAGCGGCTGGAGCCAATCGGAGCCAAAGCCACAGTTGCCAAAGCCTTATGCTCTATGGCTATGTCGGAGCCAACGTACTAAAAACGTTCTACTAATACTGTTATTTTTTTTGTGCGTGTCTTTGAAGCAGAATTTTAATTAACTACATTATGTAATATTGCGCATATTAAATTTAGTACGTTAATATTGTGATCCGCTCTAATCGGCTCAGCTGTGGCTAGGTCAACTGTGGCTAGGCAACGTCGGCTGGTGGTGGCTTGGTGGAGTTTCGATGGTTTCGATGTCGAAGTGTGGTAAGGTTGGTGTATGTCTGGTGTAGTCTACTGATCACGGTAACAAGATTGCCAAATATCAGCATCTGACCTAAAAATTTATGACCTTCGACTTGAGAGTATCGCTTATTTGACACTCGGCGCAAGATGCTTCGACCGAAGCAATCGGTGCTGCCTGCCAGCAACAATTGCGCCTGAGCTCCAAATCATGAGTTACGCGTTAAATTCACTCCAGTCTAAAAGAGACGTCGATCGAGCAGTGAAAGAAACCATCGATAAAGTGCTCGTCTTACGCTTCGGCAAAGAAGACAGCTTGGAGTGTCTCCGCATTGACGAAATCGTAAGCGTTGTCTGGATTCTAGAATCTTCTCTGCACATTGCTCTGAACCTAAAGGCGCGCTTCACTGTCTTTCTTTGCATGCAGTTGAGGAAGACGGCACCTCTGCTCTCGCGCATGGCCGATATTTACGTGGTGGACTCGCAGTCGGTTCCGGTCTACACTCGGTACTTTGACATCTCCATCACGCCGGCCACGGTTTTCTTCTTCAACGGACAACACATGAAGGTGGACTACGGGTGCGATATGATATGATATATTAATTTCAGCTCGGGAGATTCGCGGCGTCGCGGAAAGGCAAATCGCCCATACTTTGAAGGCCTGCGGGGAAGTTTTGGTAGCCTTAATTTCTGTCGGTGTTAGCCACAAAGTGTTGGTCACATTATACGTGTTTCATTTCTTTGTGCGCAGTACCGCCGACCACACCAAATTCATCGGCTGCTTCAAGACAAAGCAAGACTTCATAGACCTGGTGGAAGTGATCTACCGCGGCGCCATGCAGGGCAAGCTCGTCGTGACGTCCCCGATAGACCCGGCGCACATCAACAAGTATGACCTCCTCTACATGGACATCTGAGCCGGGGCTTGCCGTGCCACTGCTTCGGTGAAACAAAGGTGCACCCAAATGTCGGCGTCCTTTGTGTTGAGGAGCGTTCGGTTCCTGAGGAGAGCCCCCAGGCCCCCCGGCAGTGTGCTCTACCAGGGTTCGCGAAGGAACCTGCGGCATATGGTCGCTGTGAGCCAGGCAGCCTCAGTGCAGTGGAAAGCGGGACTCGCGTGTGCTCTCCCTGTCGGTGTTGCCTGCTGCCTCGTGGCCAACAGCAGTCGGGGTTCTAACCCCGGGGAGGACAAGCTGCTTCGTGCCGCCAAGCTGGGTCACGTGGACGAAGTCCAGAGGCTGCTGAAAAACTCGAAGGTCGACCCTAACTGCCGCCATGCGCTTGGCTGGACACCTCTTCACGTGGCGGCCATCAACGGACACTGCAACGTCATGGCAGCGCTTCTGGATGCCGGCGCCGACGTGAATGCCGGAGACGAGTTCAGCAACGTGTACCAGACCGCTCGGGAAAAGAACATGAATTCCCTGGAAGTGCTGGTGCTCAGGGAAGACGAGTTCAGCAACCGGCTGAGCAACCGAGCGTCATTCAGCGGCTGCACAGCGCTGCACTATGCGGTTCTTGCGGACGATGTGGCCACTGTCCGCACCCTCCTTGAGCGCAATGCTGACCCCACATGCTGCAACGATCAGGGGCACCAGCCTGCGGACTACACACGAAATCCGAGTGTCCGCAAGATTCTGCAGGAGCACGTCGACAAGCACAAGGAGCGGATGCAAAAGTTGGAGGCGGAGGAGCGTCGCCGTTTCCCGTTGGAGCAGCGGGTCAAGCAGGTGATTGTGGGACAGGAAGGGGCCATCGCATTGGTGGCGGCCACTATCCGACGTAAGGAGCTTGGATGGTTCGACGACGAACATCCGCTAGTGTTTCTTTTCCTGGGGTCCTCCGGCATTGGCAAAACAGAGTTGGCCAAGCAGCTGGCTGAATACCTGCACGGCGACAAGCGGGGCAAAGGTACGAAGAAGGGCTTCATCCGGCTGGACATGTCAGAGTACCAGGAGAAGCATGAGGTGGCCAAGCTGATCGGGTCCCCGCCAGGCTACGTGGGGCATGACGACGGCGGTCAGCTAACTCGGCGGCTGCGTGAATGTCCCACGGCAGTTGTGCTCCTGGATGAAGTGGACAAGGCACATCCAGACGTTCTGACGGTCCTGCTGCAGCTCTTCGATGAGGGCAGACTCACCGACGGCAAGGGTAAAACTATAGTCTGCAAGGACGCCATTTTTGTGATGACCTCCAACCTGGCCAGTGACGAAATCGCCCAGCATGCCACCGAACTGAGGCGGGAGGTTGAGCGGCTAGCGCAGCAGCGTATGGCCCTGCATAGGGACGAGTCTCAAGACCCTGCAGAGGAGGTGAGCATCCGGAACGACTTCAAGGAGCGTGTGGTGCGCCCCATTCTCAAGCGGCACTTCCGGAGGGACGAGTTCCTGGGCCGCATCAACGAGATTGTCTACTTCCTGCCCTTCTCGAGGAAAGAGCTGACGGCACTGGTCACACGAGAGCTGGAGGGTTGGACGCGGCGTGCTCGGGAACGCCACGGCATTGAGTTGACATGGGAGCGGCGTGTGGTTGAGCTGCTGGCAGACGGCTACAACGTGCACTACGGGGCGCGTTCGGTCAAGCACGAGGTGGAGCGGCAGGTGGTGAACCGTCTGGCAGAGGCCCACGAGAAGCAGCTCATCGATGCGGGGTGCACGGTGCATCTGGTGGTGGAGGGTCCAGAGGCCGGCCACAGTCCCAAGGTTGGCCTGCTGGTCAGGAGCAAGTCCCAGAAGGGCATTGCACTTGACCTGCCCCTGAGTAACAGTGCTCCCCTGGGCAGCCCTCAGGGCTGACCTTTCGGCAGGACGGAGTAAAATTTATTTACACCCTGCACGCTTCTTTGTCTCAGCTGCTGTGTGCCGTGCTGCACATGCACCAGGGGATACAATGGGCAACCCTGCCTAAGTCCTCTTTTTATTGCTGCTGGTATTGTAGTTTCGGCTTTCCATGTTATAACCACCCTATTCTCCGTATATATTCTTTCTACAAACTTAACCATAGTTCCCCCAGCCCATATTCCTTCAGTTGGTCCCAGAGTTTTTCCTGATTCACCTTGTCATATGCCCCTTTGATGTCCAAAAATGCTACCCATAATGGCCTTTGACTTGTCATTGCTATCTCTATGCACTGAGTGATTATGAATAAGTTGTCATCTACTCGTCCATCTTTCCTGAAACCGTTTTGAAGCTCCCCCAGAATCTGCTTTCTCTCTGCCCATTCTTCCATCCTTTTACAATTTGCGTAGCTAGTCTATATTACTGAAGTTACTGTGATTGGTCGGTATGATTTGATACTGTCTTTGTCTCCCTTTCCCTTGTATAATAACCTCATCCCGCTCAATTTCCAGTCACTGGGTATCTCCCCTCCCATAATTATCTGGTCAATCACTTGCCTTAGTTTAAATTTGCTTGTTTTGCCTAGGACTTTTATCAGTCTCACTGGTATGCCGTCTGGACTAGTGATGGGCCGAACTTTTGCCGAATCGAAAGTTCGGTGCCGAATCTTGAGATTCGGCAAAGCCGAACTTTTCTAAAGATTCGGCAAAAATACATTGTTACCAGACTCGTTGATATTTTGTTTTGTTCTGGCGAAAAAAAGGTTTTATATTTCTTTTTTTCTTAACTTAAATGCAACATGTTTACTAAATAAGGTGATATTCTGCAAGATAATTGTGCCGGTGTCGTTTTTGTGTGTTTACTGGCAATTTTAGTGACTCCTTGCAGAAGTGGCGTGACAACAAGGTTGAGTAGAAGCGAGCCTGGCGCAGTCATGAATCTCGCTACGAGAGTTTTGGTTTTGAGGCATCATCAGCGCAAGCCCGCATGTGTGTGTACATGGTGTACATTGCTAAAATGAAGGCAATTACGCTGCATTCTCGCTTTCTCTGAGAGTCACTGTTTCGTGCGCGAAAACGAATGCAACGGTTGCTGAGCCTTCAGCGGATAAGAGAATAATAATATTGTAAATATGCATGTTCTCCGATTTGAGTCACTTGACGTCAGCTTTGCATGAAAGTGCGTCCCATACTCGCAACGTCTTGTTTTTAATGTTTAAAATGCCTGTTTCTGGTGTTAGGACACACAGGAACGTTTCTAAAGGTAGGGAGAGTGAATGTCGGATGTGCAACGTCGAGCATTATAGTTCTGTGTTTAGTTTCATGCAGATACATGAAAATCGCGAAATAACACTAATTGAAAGAGCAATATTTTGTTTTCGCACAAACAATACTTGTGAGCCGAAAACAGAATTGTTAAAATTGCGAGAAGTGCTTTAAAGTAATTGTCGGCCAATGTCTCAATGTTTCAGAATGCACCGCATCATTTGTCACTTGCGCAGTGGACTGCGTAAATTACTGGTCGATCTTCTATCCTTGAGGCAGAAAATATTCAAGAGAACCACACTCGCTCACAAACGCACCATTACCGTGTTCCCTACCCCACACCGCGCCGTAACCGCTGGTTGTATTGTACTACACTGCACGACGGTAACCGCACGACTGCACGGCGTCCATTTGCAATCCAAGGCTCCGTTGGCTCCGTCGCGTTCTCGCGCGTGCGCAGACATTTGCCGAATTTTTCCTGAATCTTTACCGAACTTTCCTGCAAAAGTTCGGCATTTGCCGAACTTTGCCGAATCTGAAGTTCGGCAGATTCGGTCCATCACTAGTCTGGACCTGTCGCAGTTCCAGCTGGAACCCTTCCTTCTGCTTTTTCCCATTCCCCTGTTGTCATTCCCTCTTTTTCACTATGGTTTTCCTTTTGTGTAGATGCTACCATTCCCTACAGCCTATCTGGTTCTAACTCAGAAAATGCTGCTTTGATCGTATGTCTAATGTATTCTCTTGCCTCTCCCCCCTCTACCTTTCTCCCTTCCTGTGTGGTTATTGGGTGTAGGACAATATGGTCCCGGAGGATTTGGTCCCAAGTGCAAACCCGGACAAAATGGTCCCAAGTCAATTTTTAGACACTTGACGCTCTGTATAAAATGTCGCTGGTATCTGCAGCGATCAGTTTCAAGGTGAGTGATATAAATGGAATAAAGTCCATTTGTCACATGTTGATTCGTAATAGGGGGATAAATGCAATTGATAGTGCAGATATCGCATGTTTCGATGCAATGTTAGGAAATAACAATAGAAATAAACATGCTTTTGAACACATGACAAGTTTTAGTATGTTCCAACAAAGGTCTATGATTTTGAAGCAGCACTTAGTGTAGGAACCTGTTAATATGGCCCATGCCCTTCTGAAAGTCATTCATGGTACGGCTCCCTTGTATGCACTGTGTGCAGAGTGTTAGAAGTCGCTGTTGCATTTCTCGGTACATCCTCTGATGGATGTCCGGCCTACATTTGCGTCAGAACTGTGGCGACAGAAGCCTGCTGAGATTGCAGGGCATCGATTACTCTCCAAATAGAGGGATGACAATGACCGACCATGCTGGAAAATTTTATGTTCCACGCTTCTGCAAGGCACGAGGTTGCGTGTCCCGTGGTCTCTGGTCACGTTTGGGACTAGGGATGCCGCGAACCACCCTAAGTTTGATTTCGAAAGATTTCGATATTTTCGAACCGAACTGATGTTCGAATTCGAAAGGTTTCGACATTTTCGACCGTACGGAGATTCGAATTCGAAAAATTCGCAACTTTCAAAAATCGTGAAGTTTCGAATTCGAAAAGTTCGAAGCTTTCACGATTTCTAAAAGTTCGGGTTCGATTATTTCGAATTTATTTTTACTTGAGGTTCGAGAAATTCGAAGATTTCGAACTTTCCTAACTTCAAAATTCGAATGTTTCGAATTTTTTTGGATCTGAAATTCGGAAAATTCGAACGTTTCGAATTCCTATTGACATGAAGTTCGATAAATTCGAAGATTTCGAATTTCTTTCCACATAAAGTTCGCAAAGTTCGAAGGTTTCGATTCTCTTTTAGCGCTAAATTTGAAAAAGAAACTTAGGTTTCAAATTTCTTTAAAGTCCAAGTGCGCAAAGTTCGAAGTTCGGTTTTCATGTTCCGCGACGGTTTCAGTTTCAAATAACGTTTTCACGAAATCAGGTTTAGAAATGTTCGGGTGTGATATTCAGATTGCGCGAAGTTGGTCAGTCAATTAAATGAGACGACGAGTGTCCCGGATGCGCTGGATTATTTGCCAGTGCAGGGTGACGTGTGCAGATCAGTAATTGTGGCCGCCACCCCGGGGGGGGGGGGGGGGGGGGGTCTTTAACGTGCATCACGCAGTAGTGATCACACGAACGCACTGTTTAATGATACACATCCAGTTTGAAACGGCCAGGGGCAGGCAGGTGGTTGAGGGTCACTTGAGGCTTAGAAAAACCTTGCAGCGATCTGGCAAACTGCCTCCCCACCCCATTGCACGCTGGTAGTAATCCGCTCGAACGCCGCCCGAGTGACGCTGGCATATAGTAAGTTTAGTTTGTACATGATGCAAAATTCTGAGACTGCGGATGAAATTTGAAAAAAAAAAAGTGTAAGATAGAAAAAAGGGGACAGGACAACGTCTCAAACTCAACACAGCTGAGTTTGAGACTTTGTCCTGTCGCCTTTTTTCTTTCTTCTTACACTATTTCTTTCGAATTTCATTCCCAGTCTCGGGATTTTGCATCATGATCAACAGACACCAGCTCGCCTGCACCTTGACATTTTTTTTAGTTTGTAATTGCTTTGGAGGTTTATTTTCGGAGACGGAAGAAACGCCGAGCAAAAAGCACAGAAGCCGACACAGCTTGAGGTCGGGGGGAGCGTTCTACCATACCAGCAGACCCCGAATAGGAAAAAAAAAAGAAGGGGGGGGGGTTTTGGTTTCTCTCTCTCCCCCCCTCCCCCAACCCCAGATATTTTGCACTGTTAAAGAAAACAATACGGGGAAAGAGGCCATGGTCGAGCTTATTTTAATCTTAAATCATTTATGCGTATGTGTAGCTACTGTCGCTCTTCACTGCATAAAAGATCGCGTAGATGGTCATTGTTAGAAAGAAACTCGTTGTCAGAAGGCACTACTCGTCACATGCTTAGTGGTTCGGAAGTTCAAAGCTATGTCTTCTCGACCTAAATAACTGTGCCATTGGTAAGAAATAATAAATAAATAAACATAACAATAAATGCAAAAAATAAAAAGCTGAAAAAAAAACTATCTAGAATCCGCCGGAAGTGTGGTATTCTTGCATATTCAGAGGCCCAGAACTACGAAACAAATTTCTCCTACCCTACCAAAATGTGTACAGGCTAAAAGAAACACGTCCCAAAAAAGTAAAATGAAAAAAAAAATGTTTTTTTTTTTAATTTTTTTTTATGACGTGCCGAATTTAAACAATATTAGAAATCTTTCTCCCCGAGTTAATTTATTCCTCAACGTGAAAAGAAGAATATATACAATAATTCATATTCTGCAGATATTAATGAGTTGTACTGTCTCTGGTGTTAATTTAACTGCGATACCTCAAAGAATGTAGGCGAACAAAATTACCAAGTTTAGGGTATAATTGCCCGTGGATACATATTTGGATATTACTTCGAAACTCGTCTTGAGCAACAATAATCATATCTTAAGGCGACACTGACCTAGGTTATACATTTATCATTCTTAAAAAAGTTGAACATCTCTACCATAAATATCTTCGGCTACAGCGCGCTTCAAATATGGTACAAACGACAATTGTCAAAAACCCGTCGGGAATCCATTTTCTTAAAACCAAGCATGCCAGATGATTGAAATAAACGGCATTGTCTTTTGCAAAGAATGCGGCACCACATGTAAAAATGCGAGAAAAAAAATTACGAATGTACATCAACGCTTAAATCGAAATGAAACCGCCCGCCCGTATTTCGAACTTCGGCGACCTTTTACCGTAAAAATTCGAAGTTCGACGAACTTCGAACTTTTACCCTAAAAATTCGAAGTTCGTCGAACTTTTGACTTTTCAGGAATCGGAAGTTCGAAAATTTTCGAATTATTTAGGTCAATAGGTTCGAAAGTTCGAAAATTAGCGAATTTCTTAGCGTAGAAAGGTCGAAAGTTCGAAAAGCTTCGAACTTTTTAGTGCAAGAAATTCGAAAGTTCGAAAATCATCGATTTTTTTGTTTTTAAAATTCGAAAGTTCGAAAAGCATCGAATTTTGCAGCGTAATAAGTTCGAAATTTCGAAAAGCGTCGAACTTCTTAGTTTAACAAGTTCGAAAATTCGACTTCCGTCGAATTTCTCGATATGGAAAATTCGAAAATTCGAAATCTTTCGAACCTTTCGAAACGCTTGATTCGATCATCGAAACTTCGATTCGAAAAAAGTTCGCGGCATCCCTATTTGGGACATGCACATTCTAGATGCTTGGAGGAAATTTCGACGCGCATTTCCAGACCCTCACCGTTCCATCCCTTGTTAATATATGGCGGAGTGTACGGTTCACACGTGTGCTTTTAAACTAATTGAAAAGGTCTTCCGCTCCAGGAGGTGTGATCATTCGCAAGAAGTCCATTCCGCTTGCTACGTCATCCAAAGGTAAGAATGCGAGTTCATTCACCATACCAGCAAACAGCCTAAATGCGTCACTTTCTTTATAAAGAGGCGCCTTAATAAAGACGGTCATAAATGCTGTGGAAGGTGCTTTTTCAACAATGTTTAAAGGTCAAGGTTCAAACTCAAGTTTAATGCAAGAAAAGAAGTAAGAATGGTGAAAATTACGCGGAAAAAATATAAACTCTAGATTGGCAAACGGTTCGCAACATAAGTATTTTATGAATCACATTTAGTAACAAACTTGTGAAGAGTAAGCAATAAGAAATAACTTCAAAATGATCGACTAACGGTTCATATCATAAGTGTTTAGCAAAAATAAATACACACAATATACTAACTTGTGAAAATGACTTGGGACCATTTTGTCCGGCCTAGCACTCGGGACCATTCTGTATGGAACCATTTTGTCCGGGACCATCTTGTCCGGATCCCGTGGTTAGTGTCTGCTAGGTAACCCTCGGTCTTTTTTCCCTGTTCCCAGAACCTTTTTGCCGCACTCCTATCCTTCTTTTTTATCTCTATCCCCCACTGGACCAGAGAAAATAAGAGCACAGTGTTTCCCGCCTTTATTTTAACAATGTACACACTTGCAGGCTTGCGCTGATGAGGACTGAAAACCAAAACTCGCGTATCGTGACTGCGCCACTGCGCCCGCTACTTCCGAAAGTCCTACTACTCAACCACCGTTGTCACACCAGCCACACCACTTCCGCAAGAAGTCACTAGGTCACTCGACCTGAATTTCCCCGCAAAGGTTAGCGAAAACACACAGACAGACATTTTTTGTTTGTGTGTGTTGGCGGAGCGCTCCGCTAGAAATGGAGGTCTCTGGTTCGATCGGTTCGATACCAGGACCAGGCGGATTTTTTTCGGGCGCGAACCAGTCACCTATCTGTGTTTTGAGGCTTGATTTTGTACTTTGATACCCTTGCTCCCCTTCTCCAGGGATTATTATCGTCGTACTTTCTTGTCTTGAAACCTTGATAACATGGCATACCATCGCGCTAATCCGCAAGTTTTGGTTCGGTTTGTTTGTTAAATGCATAAGTAATCTGTAGAAAAAAAAATAGAGTTGTATAATTACGCCTTAATATGTAGCACAAATGAGTAAAGTTTGTTTTTTACGGAAAAATAATCAAGAGCTCGCAAAGTGTGTGCGCTAGTCGCTAGATAGCGCAAAGAACCACCTGATTCGAGGGGTCATTGCTAATGGTTGCCTCGCGCTACCATTCAGTTGTTATGGGCAGAAGAGAGATTGATGTGAACTGTGCTTGGCGTTGTCGAGCGTCGTACATAACTTGATTTCCTTCAAATTTTGTTGCAAAACGTCTTAAATTTCTGATATCCGACGCCTTCATAATGATTTTATGAGCAACCGGCGACCTGACCACAGTCCGCTTGTTGGTGAGGGAATGGGTCCTGCCGATCCCATCGAGCAAGGTATTGCTGTTACGCTGACAAGTTATTGTTTTTATTTGTGCTTCGACTACGCAGTAATTAACGTTTTAGTAACGTTAACAGTATTTTAAAGGTGACGTGGAGGAAATTCTGTGCACTTTATTATTATTATTATTATTATTTTTTTTTTTTTTTTTGCATATGAGGTGTTTGGGGCTTCGATCCCGCGTGCGACGGACGACGATTTAAAGGCTGTCTGCTCATAGCACGCAGCGTGTTAGAATTTCACTCCAGGTTATTACTGATCAACAAATTATATTGCGGCTGGTTCGCAGATTTGCGTTTGTCTGCGCCGAGTATATGGATGGATGGATGTTAATGGCACCAAAATAAGTTGCTGGGCGAGTTGGTTGTTGACTTAAACAGCGCAAATAAGGTAAGGAAAAATAGTCAGAGTGCAGGCGAGCTGGTGTAAGTTGAACATGATTGTAAACCTGAAACTGGGGCAGAAAGAACACAACAGAAGGTAGTAAAAGAGGAGGCAACGTCTCAATCCCTACCTTCTGTTGTGTTCTCTTTCTGCCCCAGTCTCAGGTTTACAATCATGTTCAAGGTAAGGAAGGACGAGACGAGATTAAGGAAAGAGCGCTCCTTCCTTTCTGTTGTCTCTTCCCTCCTTACCTTATTTGCGCTGTTTAAGTCAAAATGTTAAAGGAATGGTGAACCGAAACTTGGATTTCAGAAAACAATGCAGGAGCTGTAGGCGGAACGCTACAATCCCTACAACACTACTCGTAAGGCGACGGCCATATTTTGGGGGAAAAAGGTCAAGATTGAATGAGGCCGACGAGGCGCATAACGTAAAGATATCTTGTTGCCCCCTTTCTTTGCTTCGTCCCCTCAAGGCGGCGAGGCGGAAAAGACGCGAGGCCGTTCCCTCTCCTTCTCGGAAAAACAAGACATGAACATATCTGTCAAATGCGCCTCCTATTTTTGAAAAAATATGGTCATTCGTTCGATATATCGTTGTATGAGTGATGTTTTGATGTTTGTAGCATCCCGTTGCACGCTTGTGCCGTCGTGCTTTGTGGAATCCAGATCTCGGTTCAGCATCCCTTTAATGGCTGTATCCAGAGCCGTATATAGAGAGAGTTTGGTGAATGGGATGAGCGGGCAGAGCCAGGGGCATGCACGAGATGCAGATAGAGGGGTTGGCATGCTCTCTTGGCCACCAGAAGCCGAAAAGAATCCCCTAGCGATGGTAGCGAGAAGCACTTTTAATAAGAGTTAGCAACTCTTTAAAGGGGCAGTGCAACGGTTTTAATGTTGAAAGAATTGCCATTTTGCATCTTTTATATTGTTTATACAAGCCCAAGTGACCAAAAACGCGTCACCTTTCCCCGAAAAACTGCTATTCTGCTGCGTAATCGCGAGGCAAAAAACAAATTATTTGCCGATCTGCTGTCGCCTGTGGCGGCTACGGGAACGAAAATGACGGCGTCTCTGAGGGATACGCGGGAGTCAACAAACCCGTCCCCCTCCGTTGCTACACTCGCCGTCAGCCCCGTGGTGAACCGTCCTTTGTGTCCATCGTTCGTCGCGACCTTCGACGAGGCTAAACCTTTGAAAGTCGACAATCGCGGAGGAAGCGGCTGGGGTCTCTGAGGAGAGGGCCCAAGGGGAAACCACAAGAACCCCGAGAGTATGTCACTCGAAAGTCGGCGTGGAAACTTGAGAGGCACTTCGACCTTCGATTTGTTGCATTTTTTTTTAAATAAGAACTAGCTTTCGCAAGAAAATGTGGTTTTCTGTTTTTTGTTGCATAGGTGACGCAGATTTGACGCATAGGTGACGCAATTGGCCAAAGTCTGAAAATCGTTGCACTGCCCCTTTAAGCGCTGTTCACACACTTGCAACCGTGTACGACTAAGAGAGAAGACTGGTTTGTAAGCCACTTGCGACGGCGTACAACCTGCTCCACAGCTGCACATCCGGTCCTCTGCCGTCGCAAGAGGCTTAAAAACCGCTCTTTTCTCTCTTGGTCATACTCGGTTGCAAGTGTGGGAACGGCACATTATGGCTGAAAATATAGTGTACGTGATGTTTCCATTATAATCATGCAAAAAGATGTAAGAATTGAATGTGCCTCTCAAACTCTATTTTGATCGGACAGTCTTACCGCTCGGACGCGCCTCACGCGGCATATTCCCGGCCCTCGGTACCTGGCGTACACATCACGTCGAACGTTCTCCTAGATTTTGATTTTGCATGACCGTAATCGAACAATCACGTGCGCCATATTTTCAATCGCGGAGAGTTACTCCGACACACTTATTAACTTTTGTTTTTCGCGACCGCCGCCGGGGCTTCCGGCTGGTCACGTTCAATTCTGTGAAGACGCCCTGTAACCCGCCCAGCCTGCTTTCAGCCAATGGTGCCTCCTCATTCGCTTCCTATACTTCTCAATGAATGGCCAAACTCTCTATGTACGGCTCTGGCTGTACCCTTTGTAACGGGCGATAGCTTGCGCCACATAGCCTAAGTCTAAAAAGACAAACATATGATTCCTCTTGCCTTTCTTAGCCAATTTTCTTCCCTTAGCTATCACCAGGCAGTGTGGGATATCACCGGGATGACCTTTGGGGGATCGGGCAATAAAACTAAAAACATCGCCCCCCCCCTCCCTCACACTGCCTCGGCAAGGGAGTCGCTGGGCGGAAGTGTGTTGTGATTTCTTCTCAGTGTTGCTGTTCGGCGGTTAATTAAAGCGGCCAAAACACAAGCCAGAAATAAACTTTTTTATTTAATTTTGCACCAAATTTGTAGCCACCGTGTTTCTAAAAAAAGACGTCGTAACAAGTTAAATAATGAAGCTCTGTACGCCCTTACTCACATTGTGAATATATGGTGCCGTAGCGAGAGTAAATGGAGGTTCATTTTCTGAATGTGTCCGATGGGCACGGCAAATGTTGAGGAAGTTTTTTTCTTGCACCCACAACCCAAACTTCGGTCTCATAATTGCGTCAAGGACGTCCAGCTTCATTTTTTTTCTCAGTTCAGTTTTTGTTACCTAAACTTGAGAAGACACACTTTGAAATCTGACTTTAATATGAGAAGTGGCAGGAATTTCAGAGCACCTTCTGCGAGGGCGCGATTAGGGCATACACGAGAAACTCTCTTGCAAGTGTCCGCTCCTCGCCAGAAATTTGAGCTGGTTCTATGATGCAAAATGCTAAAACTGACCGCAGCTGCCGAATTTGTTTCTAGCTCTTGAGAATAACTTCCAAAAAAGGGAGGTGGTTGTCTCATTATGTCTGCACGGCTGTTGGAGCTCCCTATGGTTTCTAGGTTTACGGCAGTGGTCCTTTGTAGTGTGAACGAAGCATTTGGCAGCCATAGTTGAATCTGTAGCCATAAAGTAGCCAGGCAGCCAACCTCAATTTTTGGTCGCCAAATACGCTCGAAAGTAGCTGATTTGGAGCAAAGTTGCCACTAACAGCAACACTATCTTTTATCCGCTTGCACACTGGTACCATTTGTGCTATTTCTTGGCGATTTCCATCGCATGTTTTGGAACCCACTTTCACAGGTTCATCCTTAGACCACCAGGTGCTGTGAATATCTGCCTCGCTTGAGAAAGCTGGCGAGGAAACCTGCCGCCACAGCTTTCTGTTCTAGTGTTAGGTGCCGTCGATTTTGCTGGAGTCGTCAATAGGGTAGACCACAGTGGAAGAAGAGAGTTGTCTGAACGGCACTGCCTCCCCATGGAGCAAGCATGGCGAAGATTCACTCGCAGTTCTAACAAGCACCGCGAGGTGGCGTTACTTGTCTCGGGCTCCAAATGGAGGCTTACGGACGAGGGGCTTAGGGTTTTAAGGCACAGGGATGAGACATACTTCATTTCGGGGACTTCATTTCCTCGTCTTTTTTGGAACTTGTTTATTTAATAGATCCCCGATTCAAAGAGGTTGCGCTGAAAGAAATACCTTCATACGTACGTAGGGGGTCAATGAGAGTCACTTGAGACCCACTGGCTGCCACGTTTTGTATTGTTTAGCTAGTAATGTCGCCATGTTAAGAATCTTGCAATGGGAAAGAAGTGTTTTGTTCCCTAGTGCATGAGGGACAAAAGAGCTGTTAGTAGAAGTTCTCTATATGTTCTGCTTTTATAGATGCATAAGTCATCCTCTGGCGACGTGCAAGGCAAAAGGATTTCCAACTTCAGGCGACAAACCATGTCTATGCGAGGCATTTCGAAGCCTATCTTGTATTAAAAAAACCTGGAGGGCCGAATATAATGGAAACTTATGGTGAAAATGGCACGCAGCATCCTTGGCAAAAAATATCGTAACTAATGTAATTAGAAAATTTGCATAAATCAATATTTTTTGTGGTATGACAATCCTCGAATTACTAAGGTCCTACCACACCTTTTTTTAGGTCCCTTAAGATTATTATGCATGTCCCATGCTGCAGGAACATACTGGATGCCATAGAGAATGCTGCGTCAGAAACTGCCACTGCCTGGTGCAGCTGGAGAAATCTAGAGCCTCAAAGTAAGCTATGGCGCCAAGGTGTGTCGAACCAGTTTTCTGACCGGAAATTTCCACAAACTACTCATTGGTGTCTAAAAGTATATGAAACATTAATGACCACATCTTGTCTTCCTTTGTCTTTCATAGTACACATGGAGATGTCTATTTGTGTAGGTGATGGAGGCACATGCTCAAAGAAGCTCAGCTGCCTACCAGAAACCACGACAGAAGTCTTCTTCAGATGCTGTTTCTGCGCTCATGTCACCGTTGATCAGCGTGGAATCCTCAAACACTTGGTTGTGTGTGGTGGTGAACAACTCCAGTGCCAGCAGCAGTGTCAAAAGTTCTCCGAAATAGAAGACTCTACATGCCATAGTGGGATTCACGAACAAGAAAGCACATTTGAGTCTCACCTGTGTCCAGCAGCATTCTGGAGAAATAGTCAAGTGGTCAACCGCAGCCAAACATACACAGGTGAAAAGCCTTCCAAAAGTCAGAAATGCTCCCCAGCCCCTGCTTGGAATAAGCCGTTCAAGTGCACCAACTGTCGAGAGGCATTCTTCCTAAGCATGGACTGTATCACTCACATTCAAACACACACAGGTGAGACACGTTACAGACGGAAGCAATATTACCAAGACATTGGTCAGAGCATAAAGCTATTGCAACACGTTCGAACACACACAGTTAATAAGCCTTTTAAATGTAAGCTGTGTCTCAAAGACTATAGTTCGCGCCGGAACCTGACCCGCCACATGGGGACGCATACGGGCGAGGGACCTTACGAATGCGAACTATGCCCCAAATCCTTCAGTATGCGTGAGAGTCTGACCTTCCACATGCAAACACATACGTAAGAGAGACCTTACAAATGCACGCATTGTCCCAAGGCATTTACCCGGATCTTTTCTCTTGCCCGCCACATGCACAGACACGCATGCAAGAGGCGCTACAAATGCGAGCAATGTTCCCAAGCCTTTTTTCAGTGTGAGGACCTGATGCAGCATATTAGAATGCACACGGGCGAGAAACGTTACAAATACTAGAAATGTCCCCAAGCCTTTAATGAGCGTGGGACCCTGACCTGCCACATGCGGAGAGATACAGGCGAGAAACCTTACAAACGCGAGCAATGCCCCCAAGCCTTTAGTAAGAGCAAGAACCTGATGTGGCATATTCAAGTGCATACAAATGAGAGACGTTAAATATGCGAGCAATGTCCCCAAGCCTTTAGTAAGAGCAAGAACCTGATGTGGCATATTCAAGTGCACACAGGTGAGAGACGTTAAATATGCAAGCAATGCCCCCAAGCCTTTAGTAAGAGCAAGAACCTGATGTGGCATATTCAAGTGCACACAGGTGAGAGACGTTAAATATGCGAGCAATGTCCCCAAGCCTTTAGCGTGTGTGGGGACCTGGCCTGTCATATGGAAAAACAGACAGGAGAGAGACCTCACAAATGCGAGCATTGTCTGAAAGCGTTCCCTCAGATCTTTCATCTTGCCCGCCACAGGCTAAAGAAACAGACGAGACTATACAAAAGCAAAGAATGTCCCTAAGCCTTCAGTTAATGTGACAATCTGATACAGCACATTCAATTGCACACAGGGTAGAGGTCTTCAAGGGTGGAACGGCTGCGCCATTTTGCGCCAGACGCATTTGTCTGCGCCATCCTGTGCCATTTTGCATAAACTGCGCCAGAGCCAATACCTCGCGCCATTATGCTCCAAATCGCACAACATGCAGAAAAAAAAGTATTTTGTCCTGGTTTCAGCTTTTATCGACTCGATCGGCAACAATGAGCGTGTTTAGCTTGGTCAGCATTGCAATCCCTTCTATTTATTTTCCCTGTGTATTCCGAGTCGGAAGCGCGCGAAAAAACACGGTGGTCGGATTCCAAGCGCTACATCCCCTGCGACTGGATTGTTATTTTTCAACCACAAGCGGTTAAGCAAGTCGGCCGAGGTGAGGGCAAGTCGTTAAGTGTTAGATTACCTGAGGCTCTGAGAGCCGGAAGTTAGTCAGCCTCAATAAGCATCTAATGTCCCAGCTGTAGATGAGAAATTTCACCAGTGCAGTACAGCTGCTACTCTGGGGTCTTTAACGTGCATCAGGCAGTAATGATACACGACTGCACAGCGGTATGTTGCTCATCCAATTCAAAACAGGCAGGGGAGGGTTTTGAACCCAGGGTCCCTGGGTTCAGCAGTGCGAGCATTCGCTCCACGTGCTCCTAGCTTGTGTGTGCTATGCCACTTGTCCATTCCCTGCCAAGCCCAACAGAGTTATATGAATTGTACGAGAAAAAGGAACGGCCCAACAGGAAGGACACGCAGATGTCAGCAATTAAGTTTCACTTTAGTTGACCACATAGAAATGTGCAGGCAAGCCCTCACTATGTCTATGGTTCGGACATGCCATTCTTTAGATTGCTGCATTCTAGAAACAAAAAGGTGTGTGAGAAGCAGAGGTGGATTTGTAGCAACTAGTTGTTTAGCCTTTGATTACTGAAATTGCTAAGGAGTCTTCACTGACTCAGAATCTTAAATCTCGGTGGCCTCTATCTGGAAATGAATTAGACTGTGTTGAAAATACTCTTGCATTTTTGCCTGGGGTGCCTTTTTATGATGAGAGCTGGCACAAATCCTTTTGTAAAAAATTGTCTTCGTCCTACTCAGTTGGTTTCAACTGTATCCAAGCTTTTCTGTTTTGCATGGAAGGAAGCTTTTGGAAGTGTCGTGGATAATAAATTTGTCCAAACTCGGCTTCTGCTGTTTCTTACCCTACCTGCATTGTTGCTGGTTTACTTTTAGTGGGAAAATGAGCGTTTCACGGTGTATAGTAAATTGTGTTGGGATAGTGTGTTCCAATAAGGAATTTGATTGGGTTTATTGGGTGACAGTTGACCTTTGTTAGATTACAATAACTGCGATAAGTTGACATTATATTACTCCACTAAGTAATTTCTTGAGCTTTTCCAGTATTGCAATGAAAACAAATTTCTAAGATAATTTTAGCCTTGCGCAGCTGTGTATCGGAAATTACAGTTTACGGGAACAACCGCTAGAGCTGGCCTGATTTTCCTGTGAAACTGTTGATTGTTTCGCAAAAAAAACAAAAAATACAGCAACAAAAACACGAGGTTGGTGTTCTTGAGGAGCAGCGTCTAATTTTACCGCCAATGAAAATTGTGCAATGCCAAGCAGTAGAGTTCTTGCAAGACTTCTGTTGAGGTGTATCTAACTTTCCTGTGAAACTGTTAACATGCAATTGTTTCGCGAAAAAAAAAAAAACAGCAACAAAAACACAAGGTTGGTGTTCTTGAGGAGCAGCGTCTAATTTTACCGCCAATGAAAATTGTGCAATGCCAAGCCAGAGTTCTTGCAAGACTTCTGTTGAGGTGTAGAACTTTTGCAGAAATTGTACAATGGTGCCAAATTCTATGCAAATATTTGGATAATTTTTTAAGATAATTTACCACATAGTTTTTTTTTTTACATTTGTCAAATTACTAATGTTTACACAATTAAAAAAAATGAAATGCTTTATGTGATTCAGTTAGTTTATAAATGTGAAACAAACATTAGGCTGTTCGATCTGCTTTCACCGGTGCTGAAAACTGTAAGGTGGTGTACTTCCGGTTGTATCTGAATACACATTGCCCTACACTTTTCTGCACCGGTGCAGGAGGTTTCGGGGGAGGGAGGGCACAGGCCCCTTTCCCCCCCCCCCCCCCCCCCCTGAAATCTTCCACTTTGCTGGGGCCTCCCCTCCCCCTCATACATCATTTTGTCATAAGTGCCCCCCCCCCCCCCCCCCCCCCCCCCGAATCAAAATCCTGGATACATGCCTGTGCACTGTCCTGGTTTCAGGGCAATTCCGGTGCGAGTTGATCGAAGGTGCTATCAGACGCTGTCACTGCTCCATCAGGTGGCGCAGCTCATCCTAAAGTTTTCGCGCATGTGAAAACTTTAGAACGAGCTGACGCTGCCCCTGCTCCAGCTGGTGGATCGTGATAGTGGAACTCAAGTTGAACTTAAGCCAAACTTTTCGGTATTAATTCGAAAAAGTCTATCCTGGTCGAACTCGAACCCCGGCAGATTCGCCACTTCCCTGCCAGAAATGTGCAAATAAAATACGCCTCAGCGAAGGAATACCTACAGTGATGGAAATAATGTGCCATTTGCACCAAACAGCAATACGAACCCAAGTGCTGCTACACGTCGTGCCAATATGTCTGTTTTGCTAAACATTGTGCCTCACCTGCGCCAGAATGAGCCTAAACAATGCAAGAAGACATAATTTTAGACAAACCCCCGAGACGGGAAAAGACACAGGACAACACAACACACAGAGACTGACTTGGTGTGTTGTGTTTTGTCCTTCGTCTTTTCCCCATTTCGAGGGGTTTGGACTTGGATAAAAAGATAATTGAGAAAACTGAACTTTCTCTGTGATACAACGTCCACCCAAGCCTAATATCGTCACCACTGAACTCGACATTGTGGACAATTGTGGGATTTGTATTAGTGGAAAACAGTTGTCAGCAAGCAAGAGAATAATTTTTTCTTCCTTGCTGACATTTTTTTTTTTTTTTTTTTTTTTAAATTGGAACAGATGCCATGGGTGCCCACAATGTCATTTTCGGCTTATGAGGAAATTATTATTATTATTATTCTTTTTAATTTCTTGATTCAGGTAACATCATGCTCTCAAGCTTTCGCATTCTACCCCAACCGCTAGCATCACAGTCTCACTGAGTTTGAGGTTTCTGCGATGCATAGTTTAATTACCCGGGTCCAACTCCGTGCATATTTTGTCTTAACTTCCTGATTATGATGCCGTGATGTCGGTCGTGTCATGGAGCTAAAAGTCGCGAGAAAAATTGATAAAATGGTGGTATATGGCGGCTGATATGATAACACAGAACTAGGGTCCCGCCCTCCTGAAGAACACTTGATTATAATCTCAACTACATAGCTCCACACCGTGATACTATCGCTGCTCGCATACATTGTTACCACGCACAGGCTCGTGTGCGTCGAGCTTCACTGCTTCGCATCGGTGCACCAGGAAAAGCGGCTTTCGCGGGGCAACACCTATTGTTTAGCGCAGTGGGCTCGGGCATTACGCTCGGCAACTAAAGATCAACCTTTTTTGGCCTTGATTGTTGGTTGACTTCTGATTTTAAAGAGCTATGCTAAAAAAGAGGTAAAAAAAAAAATATTGAAAGACGTTTACATTTCTCTGCAATGCAGAATTAGAGCACAGCTCTTGAGGAGGAGGAGGGGAGGGTATAATGGAGGTGAGGGTATGTCCCTCCTACCCCTTCCTCGCCCGGTGCCCTCCCATTTAGCGGAAAATTTTTGCAGAATTTAGCAAAAATTCCTTTTTCCTCACCTGCTGCCCTCACATTTAGCAGAAAATTTTTGATAAATTTAGCAAAAAATGTTTTTCAAACTTTAGCGGGGAAATTTAGCGAACATTCTCCCGCTAAATTTAGCAGGAAAGCTGAATTGGCATTGGGGCCACGTGATGTCGATTTTCCCGCTAAATTTAGCAGGGAAACTTAACCCACTAAATTTAGCGGGAAAACTCAACCCGCTAAATTTAGCGGGGAAAGTTTTCTGCTAAGATTAGTGGGAAAACTTTCCCGCTAAATTTAGGAAGAAAAGTTTTCTGCGAAAGTTTGCAGAAAAATTCCTGTAGTGAAACGCGAGCGGTTTCGCTGACGCCGATGTTGACTCCGATCAACCCGGAAACAGGTGCCCAAGAGCTGCGCTCTAAAGAAACACACACACCCACTCTTGGATAAATAGTCATGGCAGCTCCCACGCAGCAGTCGATTGATTGTTTGCAGGGTTTATGGCGCAGGAGCTCTGATGGCCATACTGCGAAAAACCTAAAAACAAACTAAAAAAAAAACAAAAAAAAACGCACTAACAACTAACAATGCAGCAGTTTATTGAAAAGGCATCAAATTCCGACTAAACTCTGGGTCTAATGCCGCTAGCTCGCAGAATCAAGGGGGATCACTTTTAAAGCTCGGCTCTAATTTTTGGTATTATTAGGGGGGGGGGGGGGGGGGGGAGACCGCCCTTCCCCCCCTCCCTCAGCTCCTCCCCAAGATCAACTTTTTAAAAATAAAATCAATGATATACAATATACACCAGCCAACAGTTTAGTTTTCGGTGACATAGCGAATATTGGGTCAACAAAATAGATCTGGGCAACGTTTCGGCCGTAGCGTCATACCTTAGCAGACTACCCCCCTGCCGCCAGCCGAATGCCTACCGACCTTCCCAACCCTGACCCACAAGTCCACCCCTGGTGCAAATGTAATCGCCCAGCAGTTTGCGATGCATGTTTTCTCAGATGCTTTGTCGCGCATCTCGCCCAGCTTCTCTGAATTTCCTTTCAGCGACTATGAAGCCCTTGCCCGTGAAGTACATCGTTTGACAGTTTGGAGATATGGAATGTGGCGTCAGTGATCTTGCTGCGGAAGATTGTCTTGCACCTGGTGATCAAGTACTCAAATATTAAAATCAGAGAAGTCATTGAACTTTTTGAGTGGAGCAGAGTGCACAGTGACTTCTCCAGCTACTACGTGAAAGGCTGTGGTAACCGTATCATACCGAAGAGGCAAGACTCTCGAAAGGTTTGCCATCTCAATTTTTTTATGGGAGCTTATATTTTACGCTGACCATTACTGCACTCACAATAAAACATGCAGCCTCTCAGGTGCCGAATCGGAGTTATGCAGTATGCACATTGCCATCGACCCTAAGGATGCGACCTCCCCCTCCCAAATCACAATGAATGATAAGGCGAGATTGAAAGAAGAGAGAATTCCTCGAATTATGGGCACAAAGGAGACCTTTGAGCAGCTGATGCCGAGTGGTAAAAAATGCAACCAATATAAAGTTAATTGTGTGACCGAGCAGCATAAAAAAAAAAAAAAAATGAAGTGTGCTTTTTTGCTCTTTCAGGTGCACAAAATACTTTCCTTCAGTCCAAACTTAGTAGAAGAATGTGCGAGGGTGTTAATTTGCGAGCACGACTTCACAAATCGGGCAGACACAACATGGTCTAAGAATGGAGCCGGGGGTTCGTTTGGCCTTTGAGAATGCATACAGCACTGCTGTTTCCCTGTTCAGCCTTGTCGTCTCGAACCATAGTTGGCATGCTCTTCCGACGGCATTTTTCGGTAAACATTTTGTAAACAGTGTCTATGCGACATTCACACGTGCACAACGTCACTGGCATTAAACTGGGAAATTCAGGTCTGATGAAAAGCAGAGAAATCCTATGAGGGTGGACCAATCTATCCAAAGATTGACATAGGTTGGTCAATGAAATTATGCCATACTTAGCAGGAGGTCCACATATCGAGGCGATGGTTGGAAGGGAGCACCGTTTGGTTGTTGCAGACTTAGAAACAAACAAATCCAAAAAACACGGATGTGTGCATTGGAGTGCTCTGCTGGCGCCCAGGGACACGAATGCTCGCTTCCAAACCAGTGCCTTTTCTTTGTCCTCTTTGTACATTCCAGGATTGACCAAAAAGAAATGACATTTTCAGAGATTAAGTGCCCATACTCCGAACGAAGTAAGAAGCCGACCACACTCCCGCAGCTGCGGTACCTGGAATAAAACGGACGACATTGCATTGAAAAAGAAAACGCACCTACTATGCACAAATACAACTCCCACTTTATGTTCTGCAGCATAGGCAGTGTTGGTTGCGCATATTTACACGAAAGTCGACTCACTCGCGCTGCAGATTGCTCGAGATGAGGCTTTTCTGGCTGAAGCAATCCCAAAGCTCGGAAAGTTTTATTTCACCAAGTACTTGACAGAATTCTCGAGGGACTTGTTGTTTAATAAATACAAGTTTTAGTCTCAGAAGACATGCTTTTAACAAGATTCTTAAACACATACAAAATCGAGAAAGTGTAATAAAAATTTTGTGCCTAATCAGTCGTCGCCATCATTCCTTGCGAAACTTCCAGGCTTGACATTTGTGATTACAGCAGCAACATGAAGAATGTCATCAATATATCCTGTGAATTTGTACGGTATTCTATGGGTTAAAATGGCAAATTTTTTTAACCGTTGAATTACCCTCTCAAAATGAATGCGGACCGACGCAGTTTCGTAAGTGGCATCCACTTCTGATTCGGTAAACTGAGGGCTGGTTGCAAAAGGTGGCATCACTAATGTTGCCCGCTGCTCACCAACATCTGTACAAATTCCTAGAAGACCCTTGTCCGCTAATACAACATCTCCGGGCTCCAGCAGAGACAGGAACGTGGCCTCAACAGCGAGAGTGGCATCAGTAGGCCTGCCACGGAAACCCTCGGAGATAAAGGTTATCATTCCGTTAGGTGCTATACCAATCAGGTATTTCAGGGTGCATCTTCCTTCATACTGAGAGCACCACAGATTCCGTTCCTCAGTTCCTGGCGGCATCTCTGTCTCCAGCTCAGTGCACTCAAGAATAACCCTACACGTAGGATAATGCGCACGAAAACTTGCTGGCATGGTGCGGTGTATGGCTGCTCGTGACGGCCAGTAGATCCAATGTTTTGTTGCAGACTTAAGGTTGACCAGAACCAATTTGAATATGCTAGAAGCGGTAGTGCTGGGGATGCAAAACAGGGAGGCTAAAAAAGAAAAAGGGAGGCCATGTTTTATCTTGATTAAGAACAAAAGAAGCTCGTCTTCAACTGAAAGCTCATTTACTCTGTGTGTAGCAGCCGGCAAAACGCTAAGGAGCAAAGCAAAAATCTGGAAAGACACTGATGTGAATGATTGCAGTGCTGATTCGTTAGCACCAAGCGCCTTAAAGCCACCGAAATACGGCTGCTTATGTACTGGCCCTACACTTTTGTCACGAAGCTTGATATCACACGCAGTCCCTCGGTCAACCGTGGGCACAGTCCTGTGGCACACGTAACAGCTTGCATTTCCATCCATAGTAATGGAGACAAATGTAAGTGTCCCTGTGAAACACTCGCTGGGTCCCTCTGTCATCGTTGATGCCTGCGGTAGAAAAGCGAAGACAAGGCGAAAACACTCACCAATGCCATAAAGATATATAATATTGCAAAAAATTTAATTCACTGCATGTGCTAAGAACACTTACATCTATGGGCCCACTTTCTGTGAGCTCAACTGCATCAGCACCGCCTGTGGCCACTTCGCTGGCAGGGACAGCTTCGTCCAAGGATTGCATGTCCTGTTTCTGTTTGGCACCCTTCCTTTTCTGTCTCTCATTTTGTCTGAAGTTCCACACGACAAGAACACATGTTGCAACCATGAGCGAAATGCTCACGTTCACACCAAACAAGTACAGTACCGATTACATATGAAACAGCACAACAGAGATGGGCAGTATTTCAAATACAAGTATTTGAAATACGTATTTCAAATACTTTGTGTATCTTGCATTTGTATTTAATTACAAATTGGGTAATGTATTTGCCATGTGTATTTAAATAATAAAACATAGGTATTTCATATACAATTGTAATTACATACAATTTGGTGGGCAAAAATACATCCCTCAAGTTTATTGTCACTGTCCAGAGCAAGAAGAAAACTACGTTCTGCACCGAATGCAGTGTCACTTAATCAAGCACAAGCGTTTAGTGACTTTGTGATTATGGTGCTAGTCCAGAGCAAGAATAGTGACGAAATCAATGTTCAGAGGCAGACTGGCTAAATAAGTGCCTGTGACAACTTGTGATGCTTTCCAGCCTGATTTCCATCCATATTTTTGCCTTGATTATTCTAAATGTGCGGATCGTCCAGATTTCTGTAACTAGTGCGAGTTGCAACAATAAAAAATTCTCTACCTAGTGCTGCGCGTCTTGGTCGTCTCGGTTCTTTGTTGATCTATACCAAAATGTAATCGACAAAAAAAAGCTGCTTGAAGCTCTGCACTTTTTTCACCTATTACGTCCAAGCTGATTACATTTTTTTAGTGATTATATTTCTATTACGTTATTAGAGCCTCACACACTAACTCCCGAGTGTGCGATGCAAAATTAACATAAGATACCCAGAAACCCATTGCAGGTGCCCTGAAGTCGCCGACGTAAATTTTGAGGAATGTATTTGGAAAATTATTTGGGAGGAGACCAAATACATTTGGTTGTATTTGTATCTTGTGCTTAAATGCTTTTATGGAAATGTAATTAGATTTGTAATTAAATACAATTTTGACAAAATATTTTGTATTTGTATTTCAATACATATTTGCATGTATTTTGCCCATCCCTGCACACAAGAAAATAAATTACAGTGCCAATGCTAAACTTCAAAGGAGCAAACAAATCAAGTCAGTGCGTTTGCATGGAAACCAGGTTTGTGCATCGGCAGCACACATGCTATGGCCCGTAGCTTTAACGGTGATTTTCAGCAGAGCAATGCGGAGAGCAAGTCGTCTGCTCCTTGTGCAGGAGTCATGGTGACGTCAGAACGATCCCGAGCTCTGATTGAAAGGATAGTGGGTAGACATCAATGCTTGATGCCTTGAAGTCTACCCACTATTTCTTTCAATACGGCAATAGGAGCTCGGTGTTCCGACATTGTCGCAACTCCTGTACAAGAAGCAGACAAACTTGCGCTCTGCATAGAAGCTCTCAATACTGCACTTTGCACGAGCCAGCCTATGAACGTAAAGTTTTCTCATTTTGCAAAAACAAAAAGTTGCTGCAATCTCGGTAGAGTTGCATATTTCTTGATCAACCGTTGCATACGACCTCACTTTCTGTTTTAAGCATACAAATATTAACGACGACTCATACAAATATCAAAAGACCTTTCATAGCGGTCGTCTGAGCATCTCGGCTTTCCCTTCCTGTACGGTGACAGGAAGATGGATGGATTGTAGGCAGGGTGCTTCTCTTCATTGGCCTTGGTGTTGCCGACGAAGTGTTTGCTACAAATTTTCGAATTCTTCGTGGGTAGCCACACTGTCCCATCGTCACTGCACAAAAGGAATGCGAGCAAAAGAAACAAAACATGCGTTATGCATCCTGTGAGCAAACTGCGAACTGATGAGCTCAAGCGCCTCTATAACTGGAAGCTTCCGATCACAAACAAACACATTAATGAATGGGTCAACATTTTGCAACACTTGAAATGAGAAGCACTGAATTGATAAGAATACGAGCAAAACTACATGCATGAGCTCGTGCAACTCGACCGGAAATGGCTATATGCACAACGCGCAGAGCTAACGCCACCTAGCGGTGGACATGGGCAATCGAGATTGGCTAGCCCGAGCATGTGGTACCAGCACTACTATAAGTGGATGCGTTGACTATGGCGGTAGGTCTCGAGCATGTGCGTGAGGTGCCAGCACCATGTTGGTGCCAGATCCATGTCGGTGCAAAGTTTAAAGGGGTACGGAAACAAAAGTTGAAATATTCAAATTTCGTTTGGAAATGAGTCAAGCATGACGGAAAATAATCGTAAATGATAATTGCACGTTTGTATTTTGAACGACTGGCTATATTTATCGCTCCAAATGGTGCACTTGAGCTAGCGCTCGAAGAGAAGCGAACGGACAGCGCGATGCGTCATGGGATATCCGGCGCAAACAAAAACAGAAAGAAAAGATTCCCCGCATTCGTGACGTAGCATGGCTGGTGTGGTCATGAGCTTTGCCGTTGGTGGCGTTGTCAGCGTTGTGGTGATGTCAATAGCGTCAACGCGTTACAACCGAGCCGTTCGAAATACCCGTGGGGTGACGAGCGTGTGGCTGGCCCAAGGAGCATGTAGCTTCCACAACACTGTCAGCTTAGGGCTGAACATGGTGCGGAAAGCAACTTTTGTCCGAGTTTTGAGCGACGCCGTGGATGTGCTTGCAGTCATTTGGGGAATTCTCCCAAGTGTATATATTCACCGGGGTCTCTCCACAAACTTGTGTGCCGATGTGCCCGTGAGTGATTTATATATTTTTTGTACCATATATTCGCCCGTGGCGTTCTAAATAAAATGCATTTAAATGAAGTAAATCCATGTCTTTTCCCGATCATACCGGTCAAAGCTAGAGGCCCAGGGCGTCCACCGCTCGACCGAGAGAGTGCAGACAGGGCGTCATCAGTGTGGTGCGAAATCAGCTGTGTGTCAGCTGGTGTCGTGTGCAACCAGCTGTTGTTCACAGGCATGCCAGCAGATGTTCACGGCCTATCGATGTGGTGCTTTTCCCCGGTGCTGCGATTTCGTGGAACTTTTGCCGGGTCCTCAAAGATCAGGCTGCCGCTCACACTGGGTTTAAAGAATATATGTTTCGTCAAACAATTTTTTAATCAAGCATGAAAAATCACCCACGGCTATTTTTATGGAAGCCTGCTAGCACAACAGCTGTCTGCCATGGATACCTCATAGAGATCATACATACTAACTCTAGAGGAAAAGGTCCGCCATTTTTCGATGCATTCTGGCTGCCGCAAGCGGCGGAGTATGAAGGCAGACCCTCGGGGTCCCACATGGTTACCAACTGCCTTCGATTTCACAAATATATCATCAGAGCAGTGTCATAAACTTCAACAATCCACAAACTTACCGATGGAAAGATATTCGCGTTCCGTTCGAAGCTTTCTTTTTGCATAGCACGCAGATGTACGGCCTCCCGTCAACACTAAACTAAACCAGATAACCGAAGCCGGTTATCTCGTTTAGTTTCGTGTTTCTGGGCGCGGGTAGCCGCGCCTGAAAATACGAAACCGCGCAGCTACCAGATTTTCGAGATTTCGACAGAAGGGAAGTTAATGCAGCGTAATGTGTATGCTGCTTTTTATAAACCTTAGAATAGCTCAGAATTTAGTTGGCAACGTTAAATTATCACTGTTTATATTGCTGAGAGTTTCCAGTCTTCGCGATTACCATTGCGACTGTCGTCCTTCAGCTGGCAACATTGGTTTCTTTCTCTTGTGTTCTGTCGCTCTCTTTGGCGATCTTTCACTCGGGATCCAGGATGTCGGCGCGCGGGATTTGCCACTCCTCCTCACCCACCTTTACCCCCCTGGGATACCTTGCATAGATGGATGATAGTGGCTGCATCAGCTGTACCCTATCTAACGGGCAGTAGATTGCGCTACCATACTACTATGGTGAGGCTAAAGGTAATATAATTCTACCAAAAAGATGGCCACCAGTGGCCACATTCGCGGAGCGGGCAAGTACGCAATCCAGCAAATAGTCATAGAGATCAGCGGGCTCCATCCATCTATCTGGCGTCGTGCGTATAGCTTTAGTCAAGATCACAGCACGTGAAGCGAAAGCTCGCGCTGCAGAACCCAGCGATCCTAGGGGGCTATGTTGCACGTTTTGGACTCCCAGGGCTCCCAGGAGACTAGGGAGAAGGAAGTGACGTCAAGAACGCTCTTTGGATGTTGATTGGTGGAGTCACTGATGACGCGTTGCGTGGTGCTGCTAAGATTTGTTCATTCACAACTACGTCACTTCCTTCTCCCTAGTCTCCTGGGAGTCCAAAACGTGCAACATAGCCCCCCTGGGTTCAATCCACATCCTTGCCTGTTTCTATCTGGCTGAGCATCGTACCGGCGTGCGTGGTGCACGTTTAAATACTCCAGGCTAGCGGTTCTGCACTGGCAAAACTGCTCATGTACAGCTGGGAGACAAGTTGCCCGTTGAGGTAGACTAAGTTCTAGGCTGTATAAACAACCTTTTTTTTTTTTATTTAGTCGAAAAAAAAAAAGGTGAGGGAAATAAGTCTCACTTTTGCCGACGAACGAGCTCTATCCAGCGCTCACGGCGCTTGCTCTCCCAATGCCTCGTTGGGAAACCGTAGAACTTTGTGCCAGGTGAATTGCTGTACGTACTATTGCACCCAACAATACAACAGTTCATGTGGCTGCGACTAGGGCCCATAGTTTCTGTAAACGAGCACGAAGCAGCCACAACCGCCAATCCAACTTTGCCTGCCTACGAGCTGCCAGCGCCTTTGCTGCCTTTGCCGCTTCCCAAAGAGTACGCACGCCGCCGCCGCTAGAGGCGCGCCGGCGCGCCCTTCAGCGATCGGGCGGTGGCGTAAGCTACCGCCCGATCCAAAGGGCTCAGCCAGCTCAGCCCAGAGCACTGATCAGTGGCCCAGAGGCTCAGCCACTGGGCTCAGCCCAGTGGCTCAGCTGAGCAGTATTCATCCATCCATTCATTTATCCATCCAGCGCATCCAGCGATGAGAGATAATGAGAGATCCGCAGGGAGTTTTCAGATTTTCAGCCTATCATCCTAATTCTATCGGCCACTTCCTAAAACTTTTCCACACACGGGGCGGCACACAAGGTCTGTAATCTCGTAAATGCAGCCCATCGTACGTCCGCGGCAGACCAAAAGTTCACTCTTTTGTATGTGTGTAAAAAAAATCAGTGACAATATCCGTACATTTATAACCATGTAGGGTGACTTTAAGATAAACGTGCCGATATAATGCGAACAGCAAGTCGTTTGCTTTCTGTGCAGAGGTTGCGGTACCGTGAGAATGACGCCGAGTTCTGGTAGGTTTTGATTGAAAAGATAGTGGGATCTCAATGTTGGATGCGCCTTGAGGCCTACCCACTATTTTGTTTTCAATCAGCCAATATGAGTTCGGCGTTTTGCCATCATCGTAACCCCTGTGCAAGAGGCAGACAAGCTTGCGCTCCGCATAAGAGCTTCACAGCTTCGCCGGAGAACACAGCTGTGCAGTGGGAAAAGTTACCCGCAGTTACACAGTAAAATACTAAAAATGACTTTGAGCAAAATTACTTGGCGACCGACTGCAGGCAATAAGAAACTCTAGCTTTTAAATTCATCAGGGAAAAATATTGGTTGTTGTCATTGTTGTTAATTTTGTAGCTGAATTTTGTCCCACCATTTTGTAATTAACGTTAGGCGCTAGGTGACGCGAGTTGTCGCCCTTTACAAGCATCACCGAAGCGACGTTGGTCCAGATTTGTGTCACGTGACCAATGGCTTCCGTTTGTTGATTCCTCTTCGGTTGTCTCGTTGCGGCTTGCGTTGCGGTGTGTGATTAGCGTGTGTATCGGCTCTTCGAAGTCGCCTTTCGCTAGCGTGTTTGAGCGCGAACGTTCGTCGTTTATTTGTTGTGACTGTTCGCTAGGCTACAAGCCCGACCGTCTTCGTTAGCTGGCGAACACCCGCGCAGCCATGTCGAGGGGAACCCTGTGGATGGGCGACGTGAGTAGCCATTTTCGTTCCCACTTTCGGCGGCGTGCGAGGAGCGTTCGCAAGGCTTGTTTCTCGACTCGCGGTCCACGGGGGAAGGAATGCCGTCCTACGACGGCTGAGAGCAGTCGTCTGTTTCCGGCAGATTGAGCCGTACATGGACGACGCGTTCTTGAAGCAAGCCTTCGCCCAGATGGGGGAAGCGTGCTTGTCCACGAAAATCATCGCCAATAAGTTGACCGGGTAAGTGGCGGCGGCGGGCGCGCGGGGCCGCCCCGTGCCGCAACCCCTCGATGGCTGCGCAGGCTTCCCGTGGGCTACGGCTTCATGGAGTTCCTTGACGAGGCCACGGCACAGCGGATCCTGCTCGAGTGCGACGGCAAGCCCATCCCTGGCTCCAACCCGGTGAGCAGCATCTGCAGGCCTGAATCTCTCGGCTAGGGGGCACGAGCGTGTCCCGAAGACGCGACCGAGTAATATACTTGCATCGAGCATAAAGCGCGAAACACATGTACGACGAAACCGTCCGATCCGACGTTCGATCGCTGCTCCGGCACGGCGCAAACGATTATCCGAGACACATGCTTCTGACCGCGCTTGCGACTCGTCGTTCCAACGGTTCCGATCGGCTGCGCCCAGTTCCGTGACCAGTACTTGTTGCCTGACTTCCTACGATCGCCCTTCTGCTCACAACCAATGTAGTGGAAGGTAAAGGCACGCGTTCCCTCTCCCATTATCAGCGTTGAATAAAACGCGAAAGACATTTACAACGAAACTGACCGATCCGACGTCTGATCAGGCAATACGATGGTTGGACACGGCTTGTTTGGTCGGGTCGCAACGTCAAAACGGCGTTGCGGCATGCGATCGACTGTCCAGAGGTGGTTGCGGCGGTCGGATGGCCGCCACCAATGACGACGCAGGTAGCTGGAACGTCATGAGGACGTCACGTTTTGGTGAGCGGGGTATTCAGGAGCAAGGATCTAGTTGCGAGTCCCTCTTCCTTGGCAGTTCCGGGGAGAGGAGGAGAGCCCGCGCACAGCTTTATTAGGCGCTCAAAATGGCAATGCCAAGAAGAGTAGGAAGTCAGGCAACACACACTGGTCACTGAACTGGGCGGAGCCGATCGGAACCGTCGGAACGACGCTTCGCAAGCTAAGTCGGAAGCATGTGTCTTGGATAATTGTTTGCGGCAAGTGGAGCAGCGATCGGACGGTTTCGTTGTACATGTGTTTTGCGCTTAAAGCACGAACCACATGTACGACGAAACCGTTTGATCAGGCAATATGGCAGTCGGACGCAACTTGTTTGGTCATGTCACAACGTCGGAACGACATTGCGGCATGCGACCGACTGTCCAGAGGTGGATGCGGTGGTCGGATGGCCGCATCCAATGACGACACAGGTAGCGGGAATGTCATGAGGACGTCACGTTTTGGAAAGCGAGCTATTCAGGAGTGAGGATACGGTTGAGAGTCCCTGTTCCTTTTCTTGGCATTTCTGGGGAGATGAGGAGAGCCCGTGCACAGCTTTATTCAGAGCTCAAAATGGGAGAGATAATGCGCGCTTGTACTTTCCACTGCATTGCCAAGAAAAGTTTTGTCAGACAGCACTGGTCACGGAACTGGGCGTAGCCGATTGGAACCGTCGGAACGACACGTCGCAAGCTTGGTCAGAAGCGTGCGTCTCGAATAATCGTTTGCTGCAAGCCGGGGCAGCAATCAAACAGTTTCGTCATACATGTGTTTCGCGCTTAAAGCGGCACTGCAGCTTTCGATTATGCACAAGCCACCGTCGTTCACAAGCGTTTTTCAGCATCTGTCTACGTGCTCCAATGGAGCGCCTGTAAGAACTAAAAAAAAGTTTAATACAAAACAAAAGAAAAGGCAGCTCTTGCTTTCGGTCTTTCATGAAAACAATAAAAATGCTCTTGGAGCATATTTATTGTTCTTGTGTATATATATTTTTTTAAAGATTTATACTTACCAATGAATTGAAATAGAATGGAAAGGGGGCTGGTTGGTGCATTCTGCGAAAATAAAAGTGCCAGGCAACGGGACAAGAAAGTCAAGACAAATTGCGAGCTCTCTTTGTCTTCCCTTTCTTGTCTTCTTCCCTGGCGCTTTTATTTTTGCGGAATTGCCAGTGAAATTCTGCCAGCTCAGCATCCACGAGCAATGTGAGGAAGCGTAATGACATGCAACTGAAATGTGACCAAGATGTGCCAGAGATGCTGTTCAAGCCTGAGAGCTACAGGCCTATACCACCTAAGAGATGAGGCTTGCCCCCCCGCCCCCTTCCACATACTTGTGGGGGGAAAAGCACGTGGGGGTTCATGCAACGCCCCTAGCTTGTGTCGGCGGCGGCACATCCTGCAGAGCCTCGCCCTGCCGTTTGTGCCCTGCAGTTCTTATCCTATCAGTTACTTTAGATCGTTAGCATTGTAATTATATGGCTTAAAGATTTCATATATCGGCTAGACATTACTTGTTGTAAGTGGAAACATTGGCAAGGTGGCGCAAGCTATCGCCCGATTTAAAGGGTTCAACCGTGTGCATCCCTCCATCCATCCAGTGATAAGTGGCCGACCAATCCACCCTCTTTGAAAGAACTGATGCTGCCTGTTGGGAAACATGTTAATTTGATCGGGACAAGGTTCGAGGATTTCATGGTATGGAACAAAGCGTTCTATTAGGAAGGAGAGGCAGGAAACTTCTTTGTACAAACTTGTGGCCGAAAGGTGGGCCACAATAGGCACAAAAGCGGCGTTTTGGGAGGTCATTTTAGGTCACTACAGCTTAAAAGAGCCACCAGGATCTATGCGACGATTGATGGGTGGCAGCGACAGCATTTATTGCACTGCACGTTAGCGGGAAAAGCCGTTGCATCCGTACGTGTCAAGCGCCACCAACCAGGCAAGTAGGGACAAAACAGACAAATGCACACATGTGCTTACGCACAACATATTATTGGGAACGAATGAAACTCGAATGGTGGGCCATGCGGCCTTAGATACATACCTGAAGGCTGCTAAAACTGAGAAGTGGAGAGGAGGGAGGGGCCTGTGGGAGTGCCCAAATACTTTGCTAAAAGTATAGATCCTACTTTATTCATTTCCATTGGACAGTGCCTGCAGCACCAAATCCTCCCCTAGCGGCAGCGTTGCCCGTGCTGTCGCGCTTCTGTGCCACACCGAGGAAAAGGGCTGCCGCCAACGCTTTAAGATAGCACTGGATTCGCCAAGACTGCAGAAACGGCCGCCTGGGCTGTCTCGAAGACTGTCCACAATGATAGCTGGCTGCAGCCATCTCTCCCAGTTTGAAGGGTAAAACGCCGTGGCTGCGCACGTCCAGCCGTTGCAACTGTGCGAAAACCGTCTGCTCAGAGGTCATTACATTTTTGCGGAATAAGCTGTATTCCTATAGGAAAGTGTTTGGTGTGCCCAGGCATAGAACACCCACGCCTGATCCGGTCGCCAAAAGGGGAAGGACGAAACTACAAAACACAACAGGAGTGGCACTGGGGGGCGAGCGCACCGTGTGGCCACTTTCCGAAATACACCTCTATCTTTTTTTTTTCCGAGAAAAAATAAAGTTAGTGGGTCACGTCACCCCACCCCACCAACGACGCATCCTCCTCTCTCACTCCTTCGGTGCATCCCCCTTCAGTATTTGCTCCTCTCCTAAGTGCCCAAGGGTGTTTTCTTTTTCCTCTCAAGGAGCAGTGGGACAGGATGTTAGTTTGTTTAAAATATAGACACCATTTTTTTTCTCCCAGTGTCTTTTGCAGAATTCAAAAAGAAAAAGGGCTAATTGGCTTTACAAAACCAGTGTGGTGCTGCTAGCCAAATGGTTCTGCCTTGCCTATCCCTCCACTCCTCCTCCCTCTTTTAAGGTAACTGGATGAACTGTTGTTCAGACATCGAAGGTGCAGGTTTTCTCTTTTTATAGGAAGCTATGGTACAGAGTAAGTACAAGCCCTGCAGTCTCCCCCCTCCTCCCTCTCCACTCCACAGTTTTATCAGCCTCTAAGTAGCGCAGCATCTATTGAAGGCTACAGGCTTTGCCACTTACATTTCATTTGTTTCTGAGAGTACCAAAACATAAGGAGAAAAGGGGGAGGAGTAGCTGCACTAATATTCGGGTGTTACGGTGATGTCTCGTTGATATTGACACCTTCATTCCCTCCAAATATTGTCCATAATGTGAGTTGTCCGAAACAATCCAAAGAGGCATATATTTATTTAGTTTGTCCCCCAAAGTCTTGTCTATTTAGAGGGGTATCCATATTTTTGGCGTCCGTATTAACCAGACATGACTACTGTAGAATACCGCGCATCCGCCCATTTCACACTAAGCACCCATACCCAAATTTGTAAGATCTCGGAAAATATGCACAGTACATTTGTATGTAAAATTGATGACCGGACAAGCGCCCATCCCCTATTTTATTGCAATTATCTCTAAATTTTGAGTGGGCGCTTGCCCGGTATTTTACGGTAGCTCTATACAGCTGCTGGATTTCGTTTCTGTCGAGGGGTGTTGTTTCTGTTAATTAAAAGAGGAGGGATATTCAATGTGCCGCAACTTCCATCAAGCACGGCCGTTAAGGGGGATGTACCTTTCTGTATGTATGCTCATGCAAGTCACAGAAGACACGTCGGGTGAGCTTCCACCTACAAGTTGGCAGCAACGTCTGACTGAAGAAATGTTCCTGCGGTGTTGGAGAGTCCTCCATGTAGCATGTAGCAGAAGTCTGGCAGTAGGGCAGGGGTGGGACGGCTGTGCCATTTGCACCATTTTGTGCCAGATGCATGTGTCTGCGCCATCCTGCGCCATGTTGCAGAAACTGCGCCACTGCCAATACCTCGCGCCATTATGCGCCAGATTGCAAAACGCGCTCCAAAAAACTTTTTATTTTGTCTTGGTTTCAGTTTTATTGACTCGATTGGCTACAATCGGCGCGTTTAGCTTGGTCGGCCTTGCAATCCTTTGTTCTGTTTATTCTCCCTGTGTATCCCGAGTCGGAAGCGCGCGAGAAAACTCGGATTCTAAGCGCTGCACCACCTGCGACTGTATTGTTATTCTTCAACCATAAGCGGTTATGCAAGTCGGCTGAGGTGAGGTAGAGTCGTTAAGCGTCAGACTACCTGAGGCTCTGCGGCCCGGGATCCGGACGTCAGCCGTTGAAAACAAATGAGCAAGAGATTCCTTTCAGTACTTCATCGTTAGAAGTTAGAACCGCATTCTCGCAAGATAAATCATGATTTGATGGAATGAAAACGCGGTCCGATTTGAAACCTTTCCGGCCAGCAGCTCGGCGTACATTAACCTTGCTCCTGCTTATCGCTTCAAATACGATAACCTCATTAATCGTGGTCTGCAGCTTCGATATTGAGTTGCACAATAAGATAAACTCGAAATTTGTTGCCCTGTTCCTCCGCACAACTGCACGTCCGTTGCTTACGCACGTCACATGGTTCGCACATATAATTACTATGTCGAGCACGTGTGGGTTGTGCAATAAGCAGTGCTGGTTTGCATATTAAGCAGCTGAAAGCCACTCAGAAAACATTAAGGATGCTATCTTCAGAAACTTAGGGTACCGGCTTTTTGCTTCTCATTAAGGCTCACAAAGTTTCAAGTTTTTGCATCTGTTACACTGTTATCCCAACTACCTAGGTCCCTAACCACTCATGTTCATCTGTGTTGCTAAACATTATTGAAATTGCTCCCGTGCTTGTCTAAGACAAGCTGAAGTGCAATGAAAACTGATCAGAGCTGCTCCTAGCCTGCTCCAGAATGTAGTTTTAGCTGCTCCCAACCTGCTCCAAAACAGCTGTTTCAGCTGCTCCCGTGGCTGCTCCCAAGTACATTTCATGAGTTCCACCCCTGTAGGGACATTCCAAGAGGTTGTGTGGCGCACGGAGGGGCATTCACATTGGTGTAGCGCAAGGGCTGCTTCCCACTGTCTGCTCTCGAGAGGGTTCTCGCGACAGCTGCTGCAGAGTAGAATTCTAGCTGTTCTGCTGCTGGGGACATGTGCAAATGCTTAAGTTCTAGACAACCCAGGTGATGAACCCCAATGTGGGATCCATGAATGTGGCGACTGAAATTCAGACGTGGATGAAATATTATTTCAAGTACTTTTATGTGAGTGTCACAATGAAATGGGGCTTCAGTTAATGTATGGGTGGAGGGATAGCTGAAGGCAGGCTGGCGGTCATGCTCAGACTTTGGTCTTTCCGCAGGTCAAGAAGTTCAAACTCAACCGCGCCAGTCACAGCAAGGAGGCCAATCAGCAGTGAGTAGCCTCTTCCTCACTTTGACTCGGCTTGCCATCTAATTGGCCAAATCTTCATCAAGGACTTTTTTGATCGACGAAATCTGTTCCTTTGGTAGCATAGCCATTGGCTGGTCTCTGCTGACATATCCTTGTCGGCCAGTCCGGGGGTTTTCGTGTACTCACTGCCATGTGAAGAATTCTTAAGACCCTCTAGTTAGCAACCTTCCTGCACTGGTTAAACTGCTTCTGTATAGAAGGCACACAAGGTATCACATTTGAAAGTGGGGTGTCTGGTCTTCATATCTTTAAAAATCAAGTGAACCTTTTTTTATTGGTTTTTTGTTTGGTTGCTTGTATCTGTCTCAGTAAAGACAATGAAACAGACAAGCCTGTTTAATGCAGAATCTCTGAGATGAGCACTGTTTTACATATGCACCCTTTTCTTAAAGGCGACATGTAAATTTTGTGGTTGAGGTGTTTTTCATGGCCTCTGCACTGCTAGGGTTTACGGGGGTTCACTCTGCGAGGCAAAAGTTGTTCCAGCACTGTCCCTGGCTGGAAGTCGGGTTTTAGCTCACACTGCTGCAGTCTCTTGCAAATGTACAATGTGCAACACAAACCGAGAGGGTTTTCTTGTTTTTTTTTTTTCATGGTTTAAAGAATTATTGAAACCAGGAGTGTGTTGAGGTGTACCTTGTGCAGTACTAACTTTGGTGGAATCTGGTTTGTGTCTTACATGAGCAAATTGCAACATTATGCCACTGCCATATTTAGATTACATGTATCGTGCAAAGAGATAAATGACTATTCATTAATAGATGTGGTTGCGCTAATCAACCCAAGTTCACTATTTTGGAGGAAAGTAGCACCTGGATTGGCAGTGGTTGCCCTTGTTCTCTGCACCGGTTTATATTCATCCACGCAGTTTCTCTTTTTAACTTTAAAGCTGCTTGTGTGCATCTAATCATAGTTTAATGCCTTGCAAATATTGTCAGAAGGCCCATACAGCATGTCCTGGACCTTTTTTATATTTAATATTTGCTAATCCTCGCACACACATGGCCACCAACTGGCCATACCTGCGAGCTTGTTGCAATATATTTCTCGCCCGTCGACCACATTGGATTCAGAGAACCGGCAGTCGGTGGCACCTCTTTGCCCGATCCTCCGGCTTTAATCCAGGCCGTGGGCTCAGTGATTCGACATAAAGCACGACGGCCTATCCTCTGTTGCGTCACATTGTATCGCGACTGTCACTGGGTGAATTGGCGTTCGCTCGCTTGTGGGGAGGGGCATGTGGCTTCTGGAGACCCTTCCTGCTGCGTGGTGTGGTGCGCCCCCTTAATGGATAACTTCCCTCTCTTTCTCGCTGCCGGGGCAGACGGGCGCGCTTTTTCGGGACATCTCGCTAGCGCAGCGTTAGAGAAGAACCGAAAGGAGAGAGCACCCTAGGTATGTGTGCCCAATTGGCCCCCTATTGGGCCCCCTGTGAGATTTTTGCGAGTCCCTGGTGCAGGGCAGAAGCCCCTGGCTGAAGCACCTGCTCTCGTCTTGCTGCCCACCCCCAGGCGCGAGTTCTCCGCCTTTGTCGGCAACCTGAGCTCAGAGGTGGACGACCTCTCCCTCTACACCGCTTTCCACTCCAGGTTCTCCTCGGTGAAGGCGGCCAAAGGTGAGGGCCCTTCGGAGCGATCGGAGGACCAAGAATGGGTCGGCAAAGCGGACACAGGATTCTGTCCTTCCTTCTGAGCTACTGTCTGGGGCCAAACTCTCTGGGGTCGAACTCTCTCTCTATAGCCAGTTGCAGGTTAAGAACCCAGATGCTCCAACCGCAGGCGCAGAGCGCCTGCTTGGCTCGCGAGAAAATGGTGCACCGTCTGCTGCTCGACACAACAGCATCGGTTTCGGGCACGAGTGAAAGGAGCACAGCTTGTGTCTGATCGAGAGGGATGACGTAATTGCGAGGCATGCACAGATGTGAAGAAGAAGATTCGAAGGTTTTCCAGATTGTGTCGCTGAAAGCGATGGCAGGGCACAATTGCGGCTTTGACCGACGACGCCTTCGTGCGTGACTGACCTCTCGCCCGAGTTATCGTCGCACAACCAATTGCAACGACTTGGCACGGGCACTGCGTTTGACGGATGAATAAACGTGCCTTTGAAAGCTTCATTTCGGGCTATCCTGCACGCTCTACTGGGGCGACCACGACATTTTCGCGTTGCCTCACAAAAAGCACCGTAAGAAACGCTCGTGCCACTACGATTTGGCGACGTAACTCGAGTCGGGGCGAGCAGCGGCGAAGCCTGTCAACTGTAGCCTTGGCGGTTGCTAGGCCTATCAGCTTGACAAAGCGGGCAAGCCGGACACTTCGACGGCGACGCGACCGCGTGATGCTGCCGCAGACAAAAGCGGATATTTGTGCAAATCTGCAATTTATACTCCGGTGGTAAGTGAAGAGCTGGAAAACCGTTGCGAGAACCCCCGGCGTTCCTCGGTGTCTAAAACTGCACTCGCTGCCATACTGAAAGAAGATAGTTTGCCAAGCCACGATGTCAGTGGCATCGAGGGACTGAGGGTGAGCGATTGGCTGGTGGAGAGATGCGAATCTCTTTGAAGGGCATTTGCCGCTGGGTTTTTAGCCTTTCGCCGACTGTAGGACCGGTGTCCTATGAAACCGGCATGGTGGCAATTTTTTTGTCGTAGATGGACATAGACCTACGTTTTGTGGAAACGACTTTGTGACTGCCGCGACTTTGTTGTCCTAGACGTCGGTTACTTGAAGTTTCCAGTTTCTTGTCATTCTTAAGAAGGTTGTTCTCGGGTGAAATGGCCGGTGCAGACATTGTCCAGCTAAACTCGGTAAGGGAAATATTTACAGACACTGTAGAGTACCCATGTGTCTTCTGCAAGCCCAACTCGCAAACGATGCGCATGCTGTTCTTGCTTGGTGTTTGTAATTTCAGTTTTCACCGAGAAGCAGTTTGAGTTGGCCAAATTTGCAGGTTGACGCTAGTTTCTGTTCTAGTTTTTCCTAAGACTGCGTTTAGGAAGAGTTGTGAGCACTGTAAACTTTTCGTACTGCATGCTACACGTCTCCGGGAAGTTAAGAAAAGGAGGACATAATCTCTCGCAAGCTCGATAAATATTTTTTTCGGAAAGCTCAGGAGCCTGCTTTGGAGGATCTGCGCTCACCCCGCTTGACTGAGAGAGAGGTTATTTTCATTACCAAGAACCCTCTGTGTTGCTCCCTTTGCTAGCTATCAACATTGTCTTTTTAGGTGTGTCATTTCTTCCACTCCTATTTACAGTCAAATTTTTGCAGGACGTCGTAACATAAGTGGAGATAGTTTCACCAGACTCGTTCGTTGGCTCATGATGACCAAAAAAAGAGTGCAGATTGTAAAGCCATTTTCTCAAGATAGAGCAAACTTCACGAAGTTCAAGTCCAGACAAGTTTAGAGATTTCAAACAGCTTTTGAGTGACGAGTCTGGGAGTTTTAAACTTCCGACAGGGTTGGACTCGATGGGTACGAAAAAGAAAACAAAAAAAGTATTTTACATACAGTATGACTTTTCTGAACTTCAAGTTCGAGTGTTACAAACTTTTCAAGGGTTGGGTTCAGCCAGTTTAAAGTCCACGCAAATTAGAATCTGACACGTCTCGAGCATTGTAGAGAGGGGCCAGAGCAACATAATGCGAAGCCCCGAGCCCTGCAGAGTCAATTTGAGGAATGACTTTGTCACCTGAGCATTTGTACAATCGTGTACAGTACCACCGGGACGCCAGAAACCCGTAGTTTCTCCCGAGCTCTTTCGAATGTCGACTTTTTGGACCGGGCTCTGCAGATAATCGATACACGGTTTGGAGTGTCCAAAGTGCGTCATGCGGTCGACCTCTTGTAATGTTGGGACCACGTTCCACCTCTAGTCTGTCGAAAGGAGGGCTTGCTTCGATTGGTGGGCTGAGGGCCGTGCCGGGCCTCTGTTTCAGTGGTGCTGGACGACGGGGGACAGAGCAGGGGCTACGGCTTTGTGCGCTTCGGCAGCGAGGAGCAGCTGCAGGAGGCCCTGCGCCTCTTGAACGACACGCAGGCTGTGGGCACCAAACCCATTCGCGTTAGCGCCGCCACCCCCAAAAGGTAGCCGGAAGGGTCTCCCCCAGCAGCGGCCCCGAAAGTATGGTGGCGCCCGAAATGTCTTCGACCCGCGCGTTTGCTGTCTGCTCGCGTCGTCGGATCTGGCGCGTTGTTTTGTCGGACGTTGCGACTCTGGCGGTTGGTCGTAAAAATGCCGGTGGGAAAGGCGAGGGTTGCCGGCGTCGCGGCGTCCCGTGGTATTTTAGCTTCAGTTGACCGTTGGGCTGCGAAGCAACCTGCAGCAGAATGAGCATCTGCCGAATCCACTTCCGCCGCCGTGCCGCCGCCAGGGTCACGGCTGTTTAGGGCGTTGTTTTTACGACGTCGTTGGACGTCACAAAAAATGACACTTTTGCAACACTTTCACCATGTCGTCGGATGGAAATCGAGGGACCACTTTTGAGGATGGGGTAAGGACACGCTGGTCGGGGATGTGCATCGGGCGCCACGCGCAAAAGGTTGCGGTATAGGTCTCCCCGACTATGGAGTGAAGTGGGTGAATTTGTGTTTCCTTGCTCGGGGTGGTGACGTCAAATAATTTTCGTAACGACATTTCCGTCTTTTTGGCCCAGGAGGGAACGAAAACTAAGTCTCGCAGCGAGAGCTCTTGGCACCAACTGTGCTACGTCAGTGTTTTGTGCCCAGTTGTTTCTTTGTATTCTCCTCGTGAGCACACGCTGTCGGCACTGGCTACTATGAAGAGTGACATGCGCCGAACAAAGGGACGCCGAAGCACACTAGGGTGAAAAGGTGGCGGGAAGTGGCTCCCCAATGGTGCCAAGTTGTCGCGTAAAGTTCACTCTAGCTTTGTGGCAAATATTCCCACGTGTTTGTTGTGCAAATTTCTGTCAACTGTCTTTGAGTGTCTACAGTTTGTGGCGTACTGCTATAGTGAGACAAATTGGCATGGCTTGCCATTGCTTGCAGCCTCTCATGTGCCATTTGCCAATTAAGCCGTTCGACGTCGGTTTTGCGTGTCGGGGAACATGGTCTTTTGGCACGGTGAAGTTAGTGCAGCTCTTGGCCCGACTGCAGAGTAGTTCACGTAGGAGTAATTCTGTTAGTACTTGTGTCATACTGGCTTCATGGAGTATTGTGCTGTTTGCCATTCAGCTGTTTGATGAAGGCTCATGTGTGTGGGAACATAATCTTTCGTTGCAGAGACATTAGAGCAGTTGTTGCCCCGATCGTCGCATTGCTTGCTCGTGGGTTTATGGCGGTCTCCTCTGAGAACGATCTGAGCCATGGTTGTAAGGGGCGTCACAATGAATGCCCGTGGATGAATCTTTTTTTAATTAAAAGTTCTGCAAAAATGTAAAGGCCCCCCACTGGCTTTTCTAACACTATTGTGTTGAAAAGGTCTTGTTGATCCAATATTACCATATTTTCCGGACTATTCGCGACTCCAGCGAAATTGGCGCCGCCTAGCGGCAGCGCCGAGGAGCTTAGAAAAGGAGGTTGTTTCGACTTTGTCGTCTGCTATCGCTGCTTGGTTCTCGTAGGCATCATAAAAACAAACAGCGTTTCCGGTAATTATTTTTATGATTCTGCCGTGTCATTCCTACGGACTGACTAGAAGGAGGTCTCTACCGTCGAAAAATCGCTTTGCTTTCAAATGTAACACTGATTTTACGCTGCAGTGCAGGAATTTGTGGTGGTCCGCGTGCTGAACGACAAACACGACCTCCTTTTGTCCACCATTTTGCTTGTGCAACGCGCCCTCTATAGTTCGCTGGAGTCGCAAATAGTTTGCGGGGGCAAATTTGGGGTCAAAAGCAAAGGTTTTCACTTTTATGGTCCGCACGCACATTGTGCCTGATCCGAACATGAAAGCTATTTTACACAGTACGGCTTGACAAATAATTGCTGTATTAGCTTGCACAGAAGCTTGTGTCATGCATAAATCAACATCAATACTTTGTTTTTCATAAAATCCTTCATGTCTTGTCACAGTCTAGAAAAAAGAAATCCTTCTATAGTTTGCACCACTTAAAATTTAAACTTTTAGGAACGTATAGCCCGGGAAATACGGTGCCTTAAAAGTCAATTGTGGGGGATGAGACATTCAAGTGGCCAACTTTGATGGTATTATGCTTATGTAGGACAATCTGTGCCTTTGCCAAAGAAGTAAATTGATTGGTCTGGTCATATGAATGGTAATTTTACGGATGCTTAAAAATTGATTTTGCATTTTAGCCTAAAAAATTTATATGCAGTCTAAGGAACAAAACAGGGAAGTGGCAGGCGCGAAGGGGCGCTCAAAGCCACTAAAATATGGCGCGAAAATCCGTGCCCCCTGGCCATTTGCCTTTGTGTGGAGACAAAATTGTGTTTTTCTCAAAATGACATTGATGGAATTTTTGGAATTTTCGTGTACCCTTACGAAGAAAATACTTATTTGATTATAGTAAATCTTTCACAGATTATAGTAAATTATCCTGCCAACAGTTCCAATTTAAAAGTTTCAAAAATTCACTACATAAAAATGTTTAAAAAAATGTTAAATAAAAAACTTCTTGTGGTTCATGACTAGAAAGAATATTTTTTTTTCTTGCGTGCTGCATGTTCAAGTGCTATTTTTCTTAGGTTCAGTTTAAAGCCAGTGCTATGTGCCTGGTGTTTGTTGCTGGGGGAAGGCACATGAAAAGCAGGAACTCGGCCTAAGATTTGACACTCCATTACTAAAATATTTAAAAAATGCTTTAGTACAAAAGCAACAGAGTAAATCCCAATGGTGTAATTGGGATTTACTTCAATACATTAAATTTCACAATAAAATATGCAGTGGTTTTTGAGATGCAAAATTAATACCACGATGACCTGTTTGCTTTACCATCCCTCCTTCATCAAGCTTCTGTCGCATTAAAAGAGCACCAAACAAAACTCCGATCAATGGTACTTTTTTTCTAGCACATCTATTGGTAGTCATTGAGAGTGCTAGCTTCGTTTGCACTAGCCTAGTGCCCGTCTGTGTGCACAAGAGTAATCTCATGACGCTCATGTCACCCGACGCACGTCGCTTGCGACTTGGTTGGCGTGTCGACGGAAATCTTTACTTGGAAACCAGTGTCTAGGCACAAGCCAAACCGCGTCCTTTTGAAACGTGCAAACCGACACACAAACTTCTTTCCTTGCGCTCGCGATAATGCATCCGCCCAGCAGTTTATTTTGTATTTATTCAAATCTAACGTGCACCTTTTTTCCGGGAAAATAGGTTCAAAAATTGCATGTGCGCTAGAATCGAGTGCGACCCAAAACTGCGCTGCCGTATTGCCATCGACATTTTAAAATGGCCGCTCCATTACTCGCTGAGAAGCTGAGAGGCTTACAGCGTAGCCAGCTCGTGTGTTTCTTGCATTCGTATCAGCGTGGAAGTTCCCACTGCAAAGACACGCCGCCTTCACCATGATGCTGGATTCAAGAGAAAAGTGATATTGGGTGCGGAGAGCGATGGAAATCGGGCCGCATCACATGCGATGGGCGAAAGATGCGTGGTGCACAATCCCGTCTGCCGTGGTTATTAAGGCCTTCAAGAAGTGCGGCATTTCTAACGCTATGGACGGCACCGAAGATGAAATGCTTTGGGCCTCTGGCAGCGATAAGGAGTCGTCAGACAACGATGACGAGTGATGCCTTCTTAGGGAGCATATGTGGTAGCTCTGGGGCAGACTGAGAATATGTTGCGTGGCACCTTTCCCCGCAGGGCTTTGAATAGCGGCAGCATGGCGACGCCCCCCGGCCAGCAGCAGCAGCAGGGCTACCAGCAGCAGTACTACGGAGGCTACGGCTACAACTACCCGGGCTACTACAACCCCTGGCAGGGATACCAGCAGTACTACGGAAACTACCAGGGCTACCCCGGCTACGCGGGCTACTACGGCCAGCAGGAGTATGCCCAGCCGCCCGAAGCCCAGGCCGTGGTGAGTGCTCGCTTCTGGCTGGGCACGGACCTCACGTGCGACGGCAGGTTTCCCATGCCTTCTTGCCCTCTTTTGTCCCAGCCTACTCCCTTTAGGTAGTGGGCTGGGGCTAAGCAGACGTTTCGTGTTGGCATTGAAGACATTCCTATACAGACTTCGATGACCGGCGTTAATAGGGACAATATCCACTTTGGGAAGCGTCGTCCGCAGCTTCGTTGAAAACTGCTAGCTCGGGACGACGGACGGCCACGTGTTGTGCACGTGAGGGGATCAAAGGAACTTTTGTGCATCAACCTAAAGTGAGGCCTCGGGTTTGCAGTTCTCGGTCCAGACTGGTCATGTTCAAGTCTGGATGTCTATGGCCACGATTAGCAGCCACTGCTGGAAATGGTAGTAGTCTCTAGCAAAGCTGCTGGAGTGTACTGTAGCGAAGCTCATGCTGTTCACTTTTTAATTGATATAGTAAGAGGGAGGACAAGGGGGACAACAATGTCCCATTGTTGGCTTTCTCAATTGCATTATAGCCAAACCTCATTGATGTGTTCTCTGTTGAGACAATTTCCTGGCTGATATGTTCACTATCTTTTACAGTGATACATTCTGTGAAGTTAAATTTTTTTTAGGTCCAGTTTGTAGCTAATGCGAATTTTAGGAAGTGTGTTCGACATTTTGCCATATTTTGATTGGCAAACCCTGTCTCTAACTTTTGCACTATTCAACCAGTGATAAATTTTTGATTGCACATTTTATATAGATGTGAGGATGGACTTGTGACCAATTTGTTGTCTTAAAGTTCATATAACACAAAGTCAGAGTTTATTCAGTAAAGCATTGAGTTTAAAATTCGTTTTGGCTGCACTAAACTCGCAAAAAAAAAAAAAACTTTTTTTAAGCATTAGGATAGGATATCTGTTTGCCACCAGGAAACTTGACCCTTTCAACGTTCGAATTATGAAAGGGTGTTGAACACATTTTTAATTTGTTTTGCATTGCCATTTTGCGAGATTGTCTTAAGAACTGTGGTGTTCGACACCACTGTTGCTCCTACGATCTGATTAAAAGTTAATTTTGTGACAACCTTGTATTATTGAAACATTTAAAAAAAAAATTTTTTGGGGGTAGGTTGTAATATTTTGGCCCCCCCCCCCTCCCCCCTCCCTTTTTTATCTTCATGTCGTAGAAGCAACAGTGGTGTCAAACACCACATTTCTTAAGACTGATTTAAGCAAAATGGCTATGCAAAATAAATTAGAAGTTTGTTCGGCACTATTTCGTAATTTGGGCATTGAAAGGGTCAACTTTCTAAGGGGCCTACAAGCGTGAACATGAGTGCTACACATGTTCGGGGGTTGGGAACTGAGGCGTAAGGTCATGCAAGGGCTACATGTTTGCTGACAAGGCGTGCAGTTTACTCAAAGGTCCCAGTACGAGTGTGCACCGCTCCCTTCGAGTATGAAAATATAAATATGGTGCACAAGAGACACAAACAGATGAAAAAAGTACTCAGGACAAACTATTAATTGAACATGCATTAAAGGAAAAAAAAAACAGCTAAGCCAAAAAAGGCAACAGGTACAGTCAGCAGGTGACGTAGGTCGACGTGTCGTTGAGGTCAATTTCTCTTTAACGCAAAATGGATTCTATCAGCTGAATTTTATGGGAAGACCGTCGGAAGAACCGTCACAAAGAACTGTCAAAACCACACGACGTCATGTGACAATGTGACGTCATGCGACATCAGGGGTCATGTGATACCACGCTGTCGCGTCACACCGTGATGTCACGTGGCATTGCAACAGTTTGCGACATCGCAGCCACGCGACCTCGCGACAATTGCACGCACGTAGCAGGTGTCCGGCTCGTCCGCGCTTCCCGGTCTTTGTCGGCGTGACTGAGTTGGTGTGACTTTCATAGAAAAATATGGACCGCCGGCCTACGCAGTTTTGTTTTCCCCCTCCCGTTGTCGCACGTGCCAGCGGGCTTTGATGTCGGACGTCGCCGTTCCGGTGTTTGGTCGTAGAATTGCCTGCGAAAAAGACGAGCGGGCGAAAAGGTCGCCGTCACCGCGGCGTCCCTCTCGCCGTCTGGCCACAGAGCGACCTACAGCAGAACGGGTGTCTGCCATACCGCCTCCGCCACAGCCGGGGTTTGAAGCAGCGGCACCTTGTTGGGGTCGTTGCAGGGGTACGACTACGCCGCGGCCGGCGTTGCAGGACCGACTCTGGAGGCCCCCGCTGCCCAACCCCAGCAGCCCGGTGTTGCCGGCCCAGATCCAGACAACGACGTAGAAGGTGAGTTCGGGGTTTTTGTCAGAAAAAAACCGAAAGGAAAACGTCCGCCACCTTCCCCTGCGTTTTGTCTGCCTCGAGATGGCAGGGCATGTGCGCTGTTCACCACCAGACATTCGGGTTAATTTGCGAATTGCTATCGATAATACTCGTTCGTGCAAATAATAAAAAAAAGAATTTGTAAAATGAGTGCACAAATGAGCGCAATGCTACAAGTACAGCCGGCTGAACTCATAACAAGCTAAGGTGTCTTTGATATTGCGATTGTTTCGTGTTTGTCGGTGGTGGAATGCTTTGGTTCGATTATAAGTCGACCCCCCCACTTCCGATTTTAAAATAATTTAAAAATGGGTCGACCTACATTCGCGTAAATTCAATATCTTCTAAATAAAAGAAGAAGAAAAAAAAAAAAAAAAACTCTGCTGCGAAAAGTTTAAGCTGGGGCTTTGTAAGCTGACCCTCTCGGGTAGTGTCCTCCCCCTCACCCACCGCCCTGCGGGGTCCTTTCCTTGCAGACCACAACATGAGCCTACCCGACGTGGACGCCCTCAACAAGGCCTTGATGGCACGCTCGGAGGTGGGTCCCAATCAGATGCACTAAGCGTTGGAGTCTCGAGAGACTGCAATTTTCGCTCTCTTCTCGCAAACAGAGCCTCGACTTTGATACAAAAATGTCACGAGTGAAAGGCCGTAAACGACTTATTGCATCACCTCAAATGTAATGCGTGTCTTTCCTGAAAATTTTGCGCTCGCGTCGCAATTGAATGCCCGCAAAATAACCCTCGTCAGCGCCGCCATGTTGAAATAACTTCAACCTTCTTTGTTCGCATTGTTTTTCAGTCTTATGCTGGCGACACCTACCTTTTCGTATGTGAAAATGTGAAGTCGACAACCATGGAATCCTGATCCAAATTTATTGAGACTTGCTGTTGTGTGCAATATTTTTGGTGTTACGCTCTATAGCTTACCTTAGGGTAACTGAACCGGCTCACTGATTTCCAAGTTTTAACACTGGCTTCTAGCATCTGGTTTTGTATTGGAACCTTCACTCTCAGACTTCGGAAGTTGGGAGAATATCTGGTAATAAGTCAGTAATTACTACGGTTCACCCTGGTCGGTTTGACCGCACCTTTCAGACACTGTAATCAATTTTATTTTCGCGACCCCGGTATTTAGCTAATTTTGCGGAGTGCGGGTTTCGGGAATAATTTGCGGACAAAATTTTGCGATTCGAAGTGATAAGCTATGTATTTGTGGTCATGTTGTGATATAATCGCAAGATGAATTTTTTGCAGTAGTTTTCGAGTTGCAAGATTTCAAAGAATGATGTCCTCGCGAAAATCAATTAATTTTCAGTATGTTAGGTATAGTTTAGCGAGTAATGTACCTTACAAAACGTGCCTGCATGTCAAGTGAGGCCCTCGAATTGCGTGGGTAATGCTCATTTCGATGTGCTCTGGTGTGCAGGACCTGTACTCTGCCCTGGACAGCTGCCGGTGGCTGCCCACAGACGGACTTGACCCACCCTTGGTGCCCGTCAAGTGACCCTAAATAAAAAACCTTTTTTGAGTTGCACATAGTGCGTCCAGCTGCATTACGCCACTACCATGCTGCAAGCAGAGGGTCTTTTTCAAGCACCATCGCCTCATAACCCTTCTTTTTAATGCCCTGTTAAAGCTGGTCTCACTCTGTGAGTGTCTTTAGCCTAAAAACTAAAAAAAAACCCCAAGATATGGTAACGTCCAGTGCTGCTCGATGGGGTTTTGAAAAGGGCATCGCCCCGTAAAACTTCGGCTATTAGACGGTAAAGCGGGGTTCACTAAACGGTACTGCGTGCAGGCTAGTTCCCTTGGCTTGACCCATTCAATGAGCAGGAGTTACGGTACCATTATTCCCAGGTATGCTTTATCGTACAGTTAGGAGAATAAAAAAAGTCGCAGGGTCTCTTATATTATCCCTAAGACGACTTGAAAGCGAAAGCCAAAGCGCCAATGCAGTCAGGGGGCAGTGGAACAATTTTAATGTTGAAAGAATTGGCAGTTCGCATTTTTTATATTGTTTATACAAGCCCAAGTGACCAAAAACGCGTCGCCTTTTTCCGACAAACTGCTACTCTGCTGCGCAATCGCAAAGCAAAGAACTAATTATTTGTCGATTTGCAGCCGAAGTCAACAAAACCTGACCCCCTCCGCTGCTGCACTCGCCGTCAGCCCCTTGGTGAACCGTCCTTTGTGTCGATCGCTCGTTGCAACCTTTGACGAGGCTAATCCTTTAGAAGTCGACAATTGCGGTGGAACCAGCTGGGGTCTCTGAAGAGAGGGCCCAAGGGGAAGCCACGTGAACCCCCAGAGCAGTCTTGGGCAGTAACTAGTCACTAGTAATGCGTTACCAGTAACTAGTTACTTTTTTCAGTAACTTGTAACTGTAACACGTTACTGCTCAGTGGAAATAACTTGTAACTGTAACAGAGTTGCTATTTTTCGAGAGTAACTTTAAAAAGTAACGTTGTTACAGTCACCATTCTTATGGGAACACGACCACCAAATCGCCTTGCAAATCGTGAGAGAGTCCCAAGCCCTGGTGCGGGAATGGCAACGCAAAAACTGCTGCAGGAAACGTCTGGAGTAGGAGGGGAAAAAACTATAAAGAAACTAAATTTTGTTTGACACTGCATGGCCAAGCTAGTCCCGCCAACTGGGAGGATGGGGACGTTTGTGTCCGTACCAGCCATGTACGCCCATAGCACACGGAGATGTAACAAAGCGCGGCATCTTTAAAGCATTTCTCTTTTCTTTGTCCCGCGGAGGGAGCGAGTGCTTTTTGCAGAGGACAGTTTTTGGTGATGGTCACCCCAAACGCCCGCACGCTTACGGGCGTCTTCTTGCCGCCAAGCATACGTTTCCTTCCCCTCTAATTTGAATCGTCCACCTCCCAGATGCACCCTTCCAGGGTCTCGACTTCAGGCCCGTTTTCTCTCCCTTCCTTTTTTTTTTTTTTTTACAACCCAATTACCAGCCTTGCCTCCCGTCACCCACTTTTTCCTCTCACTTGAGAAAGAGTATCTGCTCGAAACGTCTGAGTCGTTCTGCTTGTTTGTCTGTGTGTTTTTGTCATTGAAAGACCGCCCTTGGCTGGGACCAGGGGCAGTTGGCATCAGTTGACTTTTAGATATTCAAGTCGTGGGCTTTCCGGGTGATCTCTCGTATTTCGGGTGGTGAGATAGAGAAGCAAGTTCGATCTGGTTAAGAAGCGATGGAGGAAAGGCTGTTTGGAATTCCACGCGCAGTGGTCGTTTGTACCTCGATCAGCGCTTATTTTGACGGAAGAATGTAGCCGCAACATTGCTCTCCAAGTTTTCAAGAAAAGCTTTGCGTTTCATGAAAGATTGTGGGCACGCAGTAGAAAACGATTTGACCGACGAGTGGATTAGAGTGGCATAAGAAGACATCTACGAAGCTGATTGCAAGGTAGGACATATTATTGACTTCACATTTGCACGATTTATATTGCTTCAGTCCAATTTCAACTCATAAAAAAAAAAATCCGAAATTAGAATCGACCGATTGTAAACTGGCACCATGATTGGATATACACGAGATATGGACGTGTGCCGCTGTGTTCGTGTATACCTTATGGTGGTCGCTCTTATTTTAAAGTTCTTTATAGACCAGCTATCTGCTACGGCTGCTACGCTAAAATTTTGAAAGACTGAAGTCCCCTGTAATTTTTCCAACCAAAAGACTCCAATTCTTTATCATATGGTGGATTTACTCGGATACTGCCTTAAATTATGATCTCAGCTATTCATAGTGAAAATTGAAACAGGAAGAACCAAATATATTAATATATATTATTAAGAAAATCTTAGTTTCTCAAAATAACCAGATTCACTACCCTGAACAACACAATGTCTTAAAAGAAATCTATGCTAATTTAAAGGCATATAAAATTTTGAACGTCCATTTTGAATGTTTTCTCATGTTTCTTTGTAAAGTAACGACGAAGTAACGGCGTTACTTTAGAGAAGCAACTGTAACCGTAGCAAGTTACTCTTTCAATTTTGTAACTAACTCAACAGGGTTACTTTTTTACCTGAGTAACTGTAACACTTACCTTTTAGCAGTAACGTGCCCATGACTGCCCCAGAGTACGTCACTGGAAAATCTGCGTAGAGAGTTGCGAGGCACTTCGACCTTCGATTTGTTTAATTTTTTTTTAATAACTAGCGCTCGCAAGAAAATGCAGTTTTCTGTTTTTTGTTTCATAGGTGACTCAGATCAAAGTCTCAAAATGGTTGCACCGCCCATTTAAAGACAGACACATAATTTACTTAATTCACTTTGATTCCTCTCAATTCACTTTGTCATCCTTCTTAATTTCATTGCCTCTACTTCGCCTGAGTGGTTGCGTAAACGTGATAGCAAACCTTGAAAACAGCGCGCTCTCCGACGCCGCACTTTTGGCGTGTTTTCGTGTCGTCGAAGTGTTTTCAATCCAGGACTTTGAAGGTCGACTGAACGATGAGACATGTAAGGCTTTCGTCCTAATAAGTGAAACACCTACTCGCCCAACTGCACACCTTGCTTACAGGTCTTTTCCGGTGCTACACCCTGTTGCAGGTTAAGAAAAGCAGGAGAGGCCCTCCAGCCTTTGCTCATTAGCAGAGCGAACACTCACTGGAGATGCAAGTCCGCTTACGTCCTCTCCAGCATTTGTTCTAAATTGGAGAGAGTGGAGGGCTTCCTGGGGAGGGCCCTTTCTGCTTTTCTGAACCCGCAACGGGGTATAGCAACGGCACAGGCACGAGCTGTGAAGAATATTGCTTGTGTTCATGAGCACCCATCTCTAGAGAGCTCTTTCGAGCGCTACCCATTCCTTTGACAGTGCTGAAGGCCATTTGTGGGATAGTCTAGATGGAACGCCAGTGTCTCTGTGATCTCATTGAACCAAAGTCCTCTAAAACTTTCGCATAAAGAAAATTTTTTGGGCTTGCCACGATGGCTTATTTAGCGTTTAAAAACAGTATAGCGTAAATTGAACGAATGGATCGCAATTAAGTGCCATAGTTTATGCATTGCCTAATTTGAATTAAATAATTAGATAATTTGAATAAAACAAAATTAAAAATTGAATTTCTCGGAAATATCTGCCTCCCACGTAAGCAGCCTCAATTCTCTGGGTGATTGCTTGGCGTAGCCCAAACACGGACACAAAACAAGAAGCTTTTAACGAGGAGAGAGCGGATCGGCCGTAAACGGGCTTTTCAACGTTTGCCCGCAGGAGACTATGCCGCTTGTCTGCACTTGGGGGTGTTTACAATTTCCGCCACACTGTGGCGACACTTCGATTTCGAGGCAAATTGAATCAAATGAATTCGCATCGTAAGAGGTTGGGGGTGCGGTGAATCGCAGATCGTTTAACAAACTCTGGGCGCAGCGAGCCCGTGCATCTCATTGTTGCTCCAAAGCCAATGAGGTTGTGGCATTAGCCAAATGAGAACATTAAAAAAAGCGCACGCTGTTGCTATTAAACAACTTTTTTTTTTTATCAAAATTCATGTTTGGCCGGGCGAGCGCTGTTTGCGAATTCCACCACCCTTTCCGCTTTGCAGTGCGAACACCGGGGAGTTGAGGCGAGGTGAGGAGGGACTCTCCTCCTCTCGGGTGTTTGCGCTGTGAAGTGGAAAGGATGGTGGGCTTCGCGTAAACTGAATTTGAAGATTTATGTGAGACCACGACCAAGCTATGTCGACGATTAAAGGGACTGGTGCGAGCAGTAGTAGGACACTGGCTGTGTTCTAAAATTTACTTGATCTTGCTCCAGGGTAAGGGTTTTGAATCTTATACGTTCAAAAGCCTACCCACGTCTAACGGTTTTCAATCTTGTCGCGTCACGCGACCCGCCGGAGTAACTGATCCATCTGGGTAAGATTCGGAGCACAGTCGCTGTTTTTGCTCGTCTCGGCGATAGTGGTGCAGGCCTATCGATAGTAATATTATTGACAGTGGAAGCCGTATCCAACTATATTGATAGCGAAAAACGGTATTGATAGTTAATTAATGTGAAACTATCCATAATATACTATCTATAGTCACCTTGCAAAACCATCGATCGTTGACTATCATAAAACTATTGTAACCATCTATGGTAAATCTATCAATATTTTATTAGGTGACGAAGAACGTCGAGAGTCTAGGGAAATGTGAAGCTCAAAAAAACGTGGAACTGCAAACACTTTTGACGATAATGACAATAAGTATTACTGTCAATAGGTTTAAGAATTAAACTATCGAAAAAATATTAATTGTATACTATAGAAAAACTATGAATAAAATAAAATGGTCGTGAAAAATATTTTTTTACTGGTTGTTTTTGTGTTTTTAGATTGCTTTCCGCGTGTTTGCACTTTGTTTTTTTAAAGACGAAGTTCGATCAGAAAGATGAAAAATTTTTTGTCACTACTGATAAGTAAATGCAATGCATAAAAAAGGAAAAACTGATTGAATACGGTGGTGATCGGATGGGGGAAAGTATTGGGACATGGTGTACTTCAGTCAAATGTAATTTTTTTTTTT